AACGACGCACCCGTCGTCGGTCTAGCTCATCAAGCTCGCTTCTTTCCCGGATTATCACCTGTGGAGATTGCCACTGCTGCCACGATTACAGATCCCGACTCCGAGTTCATCACCTCCATGACCGTAGAACTCACCAACATACAAGACGCGGAGGACGAGTTTCTGACGGCGACATACGAGACGCCGGAACGCCTCACGGTGCCGTCCGTGTACCAGGTGAGCGGCTTGAACCTGACGTTCGGTCGTCAGTGGCTGGCAGAGGATCGCGCCCAGGCGGCACGCCGACCCAGCGGCCCGACTGTGCCCACGGTGGTTGCCACGGTGACCGTGCTGGACGACTTCGCGGTGGGGCACGTGGACGTGGTGGTGGACGTGTCCCATTCCTGGCTCGGTGACCTGGAGCTGGTGCTGGAGCACGGCAGTCGTCGGCAAATGCTCGTGACGTCACCGGGCGGTCAGACGTGCGGGGAGGACGACATGCTACACACGGTGTTCTCGCAGAGCGCCGATCCACTATCGGCCATGTCGTCGTCAACGGCAACCCCGGGCGTCTGCCGCTATCAGAGCCGCGGTGTGTTCGCCAGCAGCGGCGATCTGTCTGTGTTTGCGAACGCCTCGTCGCGCGGAGCGTGGACGCTGCACGTCAGTGATCGCAATCTCGTCGAGGACAACGGAATGCTGACGGGTTTCGCCGTTCTACTGCAGCCGCTGGAGGATCACCTGATCGCAGTGAACGAACCCGTGCGACCGGCCGCCAACCTCGGCAACGGCGTCACGCAACTGTCACATGACCTGACGGTGGCGGGCAGCGGAGGACGCGTGCTGGACCTTCACGTGCGTCTGTTCCTCGAGTCGTCCTTCGCTGGCCAGCTGAACCGTGTCGTACCCACGGTGATGCTGCGCCACCCGGACGGCACCGAGGTCACGCTGGTCAATTGCTCAAGTTCCGTGTGCTCGAACGGCACAGACGAGTACAACTTCCTGGTGTTCGCCGACAACGCTACACGGTCTGCCGATGAGAACTTGATGGGCTCGTGCTGCGCTGGTGCTTCTGATATATTTGCCATGACGATGAACACGCCAATGTTCGGCTTGAATTCGTCCGTCCCGCTTACCGTCCCGGAGTGTACTGATCCGGAAACGACCAACGACTTAGTCAACATCCTGCAGCCCGTGGAGCCTCTCGCCGCCTTCAAGGGGAAACCCCTGGACGGAATCTGGACCCTGGTGATGTCGTACCCGGAGTCGTCGTGTTCGGCGGATCAGTTCGCCACGCTGCACGGCTGGGGTGTGCGTGCTCAGCGCGAGCCCAATGTCGACACGGTCTACAACGCCTCCAGCGGCATGCTGGCATTCACGGGCAGTGACGTGGCCGGAAACTACGAACGTCTTCTCCGGAGCGTCACGTACCGCAATTCCAATCCCACCGCAGAGTTCACCACCGTGCGACGAATCAGCGTGTCGGCAAGCGATGGTGCCCTGGAGTCGGCCAATGCCTGGTCCTCTGTTGTCATACATCACATTGATATCGACCTGGACCCGGATCGATCCGGCAACGCTACATCATCGCCGCACTACGCGGCAGTGTTTGTCGAGGCAGCGTCTCCGTTGTCTGTAGTCAACACGGCCTCTGCCACGCTGGCGGATGCGTCTCCTGGCCCCGCTCCCCTGTACATACTCAGCGTCAACCTAGCGCAGCCGCTCAACGGTGCCAGCGAAGGGCTGCGAGTCACCGCACAGCTGCCAATCGATTTGTTCGCGGAGTTCTCCATGGACAACTCCACACTGTCCGTGTACTCAGTAACGAATACATCGTTGAGCATTGATACCTTCCAGACAGTGCTCCGCTCTATCGAGTATTACAACACTGCTGAGGAGCTGCTCGGTGACGTACGGATGATCGACTTCAGCGTACAGGACACGGCACGCAGTGGTCTGTTCTTCAGTCTGGTGGCACGCACCAGCGTCACTCTAGCTCACGTCAACGACGCGCCGGTCCTGGACGTCAACGGGGACTTTGAGCCCCTGGGCGCCGTGTCCAACATGGTCGAGTACCGCGAGGGCCAGGGCGAGCTGCCCCTGGCGAACGTCAGCGGGGTCGTGCTGTACGACTATGATAACGACACTCTGAGTTCGGTCACGGTAACCATCACTCCTCTGCCGGACACTGCACAGTACGAAGTCATCTCGGCCGATCTTGCCATGTTTCCCAACATCTCGATGAGCAAGAACGCCACGGGTCAAGCCGAGCTAGTGCTGTTCGGAATCGACTCGGTGGAGAACTATCGCGAGGCCATTGCCACGGTAACCTACAGCAACCTGCGTAGCGGCGATCTGATTGGTCATCCGAGCACGGTGCCGCGGCGTATCAGCTTCGTCGTGAACGACGGCCTGCGGGATAGCAAGCCCACTATTGTCATGGTAACCTTTGAGGCCGTTAACGACCGTCCGCTGCTGGATTTGAACGGGGCCGGCGCTGGCATAGACTATTCGACGCGATTCACCGAAGAGCGCGGTGCAGTTCTGATCAACTCCGGCTTGACTGTGTATGACGTAGATAATGTCACGTTGAGACAGGTCACGGTGCAGATTGACAACCTCGTCGACTACGGCGACGAATACCTGTCGGTGGATTCCGTCGTCACGACTACCATGCCCTTGGACGCGCGGAGCAAGGCCAGTCGAGTGGTGACGCTGAGGCCCACGGTGGAGTACAACGCATCGACTGGCACGCTGACGGTGTCTGGCCTCGACTCGGTGCTGGAGTTTGAGCATGCTCTGAGGACGCTCAAGTACACGAATATCGCCGACGAGCCCACGCCCGTCGCCCGACGCATACGTGTGACCGCCAGCGATGGCATGCTGATGTCACCTGTAGCTATAGCGACCGTGGATGTCGTCCTGGTGAACGATTCACCCTATCTGAACGGAGCTTTCCAGGCCGAGGTGAACATCACCGAGGACGTGACAGATGCGGACAACATCGGCTCGCTCGTATCGACACTGGACGGACTGATCGACGACGACGACGTGAACGCAACGAAAGGCATCGCCATCACCGCAATCGATAACACTAACGGCATGTGGCAGATCACGTTGGACGGTGTCGCGTGGCAGTCGCTTGACAGCGGGAACATTTCTCTGCAGAACACCGTCGTGCTAATGTCTGACATGGTGACCGCCGTCAGGTTTGCACCGGATCGGGATTTTAACGGCGAAGTCCGCCTGCAGTTCCGCGCATGGGACTCCACCAGCGCTCTGGCGACAAATGGAGCGGGTGTCGATGCATCTGCAGTGTCTGCCATTAACGCGTTCAGCAACAACAGCGTGGAGCTGATCGTGAACGTGAGTCCCGTCAACGACGCCCCCGTGCTCCGCTCGCAGCCCGTGTCCTTGACAACCATCATGGAGGATGAGTATGCGTCGCGCGGTGATACAATAGTGTCGCTGCTTGGCAGCACATCAGATGTGGATCTGAGCGAACTCAGAGACGTCCGACTTCTCGGCATTGCCTTCGTTGAGCTCGAAGACGACAACGGCACCTGGCAGTACACGCAGGATGATGGCCGCACCTGGATCGCCATGGCAAACGTGTCTCGCTCGTCAGCCGTTCTGTTGCCACAGCAACCGGCGGGCGCCATGCGCGTGCGCTTCGTGCCGCTTCGCGACTTCAACGGCTGGGCGTCGTTCACGTACCTGGCCTGGGACTTGACCGTCAGTGGTGGTAGCGTGGTTGCCGATAGCAACGTGACAAGCGGCGGAGTGCAACCTGCAGTGCACATGGTGGACACCACGACCTCCGACCCGGTCACTGGCGAATTCAGCACGCAGGAGAACACGGCCACCGTGACCGTGCTTCCTGTGAACGACTCGCCTCTGCTCAGCGATGACTTGCTGTTCCAGAACCTGACCGAGGACATTGACGAGACCATCAACCACGGCACACTGGTGTCAGAGATTGTCTCCCTGGCGTACATGGACGTTGACGTGAACTACTCGGTGGGAATTGCCGTCACGAATGTGGACAATTCCAACGGCGTGTTCCAATACACGTGCGATCGCTCGTCTCTGCTCAACTGGTCCGATTTCATCGGGGATCTCGTGTACGGTCAGTATGTTCCGGCTCTGCCTCTCCTCAGTCGCGCCACGCTGCTCGCCGACTATTGCCGCGTGCGATTTTTACCGAACGAGAACTTCAACACGGAGTTCGACACGACGCACGCCGCACGCCCGAGCCGGGATGTGCCGACGCTCCGCGCCCTGGCCTGGGACAGCACGGGTCGTACGGAGAACATGACGGGACGGCACGGCGTGGATGCGGCCGCCACAGGGCCATGCGTGACGGGCACGTTCAGCTGCATTGAGCGTACGATGAGCGTGTTTGTGAGCAGCGTGAACGACATACCGGTGCTGATGCTGAACGGGAGCGCGGGCGACTACGAAGCAACCCTGGTCGAGGACACACTGGGAGTGGCCGTGGTGGGAGATGACTTGACCCTGATTGACGTCGACCACGCTCTGCTTCGGAGCGTCACGTTGATCATTCACAATTCCACCGTTCTTGCTGACCTCGCCAATGTCACTCTGGACTATTCCGACGTCAGCATAAACGACACAACATCGACCGACCCGATCTGTACGGGAGAGGCGAAACGACGCGAAGAGCTTCTTATCGACCTCGCCTCGACGTCTCTGATTGCGACCGTCCGTAGCTACTGTCCCTACGCGTTAGAACTGTCGGCTGCACGTGGACAGACGGCAACAGTGGCACAGTATCAACACGCTCTCAGGACGCTGCGCTACAACAACAGCATCGAAGAGCCGAGCGATCAGGATCGCGTCGTACTGTTCTCGGCCGACGATGGATTGGACAGGAGTGTGCTACGCTACACAGTGCTTCACCTGCAACTGGTCAACGATGTACCATCGCTGGATCTGAACGGAGACGAGATCGACCTGCACTACTTCCTGAACTACACGGAGGGTGACGGGGCAGTGCCGATAGTGGACACCACCGGACTGCGCGTGCTGGATCACGACAACACAGTGTTGCAGTGGGCACGCATCGACCTCGTCAACGCCCCCGATCAACAGAACGAGCACATCAACGCCACAGTGCCCGCGGGCAGTGGCATCACGGCCGACTTTGACGTCGCCAACAACACACTGATGCTGCGAGGACAGGCACCACTCACCACGTACGAACAGGTACTCAGAACTGTCACGTACACGAATCGCGAGGCCGATACCGGCTACCCGTCCGACTCCGACCGGCACGTCGATTTCTACATCAGCGACGGCGTTGCCATTAGCAACGTGGCCACGGCACACATTGTGTTCACGCGCGTCAACGACAAGCCATATTTGGATCTGAACGGCGACGTGGCCGGGCAAGACTACACGCAGTGGTTCTTCGAGGAGCGCGGACCCGTCAAGGTAACCGATGGCGACGTCATGATCGTCGACATTGACAACGCCACGCTGGAATCGGTCACTGTGGAGATCGTGAACGTTCTAGACGTCACGTACGAGGTTCTGGCCGTCAGCAATCTGGTTGACACGGAAACGCTCAGCACGAACGCGTTCAACAAGCAACGTGTGGTGCAGCGCACGCTGATCACGCCGAACACGACGTACGATTATGTTACCGGGGTGATGGTCATACGGGGACTTAAGACGCTGGACGAGTACCGACGAGTACTGGCCACGCTCACGTACAACAACCTGCAGGACGAGCCGGATTTCACTCCGCGACAGATCACGATCACGCTGAACGACGGCCTCCTGGATAGCATCACTCGCACCACCACCATGAATATCGTACCGATCAACGACTCCCCGGTGCTGAGCGAAACCATGACCCTCATACATCCTCTCATCAACGAGGACGTCTCGGCGAGTATGGCCGCAAATCCTGGCTTCAGCGTCGAGTCAATGGCGAGTGCTCTGATCAGCGATGATGACGATATTCGAAACCCCGCACCGGAAAAGGGTGTAGCCATTGTGGCCATCAACAACACGAATGGACGCTGGGAGTACCGTGACCTGTCGTTGTCGGCGTTTGCGCCGATCCCGGTTATGACATCGTATGACTTCGCATTGCATCTGCATGCCACTACGGCCAGTGAGCTGCGATTCGTGCCCAACCTGAACTACCACGGACCCAGCACACTCGAGTTTGTCGCCTGGGATCGCTCCAACTCGTATCCGGACGGATCTATCACCACAGCAACCGCTGTCAACGCAACAGACGCGTACAGCGCCAATAGTCGCGTTCTGGAGTTAACTGTAGTGCCGGTGAACGATGCGCCGCTTATCAATGTCAACGCCCCCATCGCCATGGCAACAATCATGGAGGACGACCGCAACTCGTCCGGCACCGATGTGGCCGTCTTGCTGGGTGCGTGGAGTGATGATGTCGACGTTGTCACACCGGAGAATCGCGGTATTGCCGTGGTCGCCACGGATACACTTGATGGCAGCTGGGAATTCACCGTTGACGGCGGTATCACGTGGCGCCAGGTCGGATCAGTAACTTCCGGCGCGGCTCTCGTTCTAGGGAATTCCCCTACCGGTAGCAACCGCATACGATTCCTTCCGTTGCTGGATTTCAACGGACAAGTCACCGTGTCGTACAAAGTCTGGGATCGCAATAGTACAGAAGCGAGCGGAACGCAGAATGTTGATACGAACACAAACATTGTTACTGGGCCATTCAGTAGTGGTGTTACCAAGGCAACACTGACAGTTGACCCGGTGAATGACTCACCGCGCTTGACGGCTAACGTGGAGCTGACTCGCATTCCCGAAGATCCATGTAAGATATGCAAGTAGGTGTGTGTTTGGGGGGGGGGAGGTTGTGTGTGTGTGTGGGGGGGGGGGGGGGGGGGGGATTGTGTGTGTGTGTGGGGGGGGGGGGGGTGTTTGTGTGTGGTGTGTTTATACGTGCATGTATGTGTGTATGTGGTGGGGGGGGGGGGGGGGGGGGGGATTTTCTGCCTATCTTTTATCCATCCTGGCACGAGGGAAACATGGATGCAGTGTATGGGATTTCGGTCTTTGACCACTTTGTGGTGGGTCTGATCTACTCACCTCCCACCGCTTTAGGAGCTGCATCTGCGCCTTGATCCAAGAGGGTGGTGGCGTTCCTGCGGATGCGGAAAACTGGGCCTTTGGCAGAGTCTCACGCGAACCGTGATTTTTTTTATTTTTTTATTTTTTTTTATCCATCGACGCACACGGCTTCACTTTCTTTCGACTTCCCCAATAATAAACTGTTTTGGTTGTGTCCGAAATATGACAATAGCTTGTCTAGTGTGTGGTGGGGGGGGGGGGGGGGGTATTCACCCAAGATCCCCAGGAACAAGAGGGTAAACGCTCATTGTTAGTACCATGTACGAAAGGTTCATACACCACCGTGTACTGTGCCGCTCCATTGCTATCTACGAGTCTCGAAGGGAGAGCGCTCACTGATCATTCTAATCCTGTACCTCTCTGTACTCGAGCCGTTGAGCACACACTTCCTGACACCGCTATCAACTAAATGTTGTAACGTTTCATGTATGCCGCTCCATTGCCAGAAGTAATCACAATGGACCCATTGCGCAATGACGTGATGTGTATCGTAAACACTTCACACACACAGCCACCTGGGCATGGTCGTCTGGGGTGTTGAACAGTGCATTGCTGATCCCAGTGTACTCACATAACACCGCACACAGCCACCTGGGCATGGTCGTCTGGGGTGTTGAACAGTGCATTGCTGATCCCCGCGTACTCACATAACACCGCACACAGCCACCTGGGTATGGTCGTGTGGGGTGTTGAACAGTGCATTGCTGATCCCAGCGTACTCACATAACACCCCACACAGCCACCTGGGTATGGTCATCTGGGGTGTTGAACAGTGCATTGCTGATCCCAGCGTACTCACATAACACCCCACACAGCCACCTGGCCATGGTCGTCTGGGGTGTTGAACAGTGCATTGCTGATCCCAGCGTACTCACATAACACCCCACACAGCCACCTGGCCATGCTCGTCTGGGGTGTTGAACAGTGCATTGCTGATCCCAGCGTACTCACATAACACCGCACACAGCCACCTGGGCATGGTCGTCTGGGGTGTTGAACAGTGCATTGCTGATCCCAGTGTACTCACATAACACCGCACACAGCCACCTGGCCATGCTCGTCTGGGGTGTTGAACAGTACATTGCTGACCCCAGCGCACTCACAAGCATTACTCATACCTTCCATATTTGGCAAAGCAATGGGTCCATTGGGAGAGTGCTCACTTATTGTTGTCCTCTTACCGTTGCGGACACACACTCACACCCTGACCTGAGCTGTGCTGGTTGGCTGTCTTCCCCATGCAGTCGTGAACACGGGTGACTTTGTGTCGGCACTCCTTGCGTCCGTATGGTCCGATCAAGAGCTGTTCAACCAGCGCGGAGTAGCTGTGACAGGTAAGATGCATTCCGGGTATGCTTCAATGTGTTGTTCTCCCTATTTCAAGGCTGAACAGACATTGTTTTTTATTGTGTTGGTGGTGGATTCAGAAGTGGGGGTTGGGGAGGGGGGGGGGGTGGGGGAGGGGAGAGAAGGTAGCCTGGGCCCTTGATTTGCATCATAAGTGACTGATGGCAGTCCGAGAACTGTACTTTTAAAATTAACGAGCTATTGCCTACATTTTTGTCTCCAAGGAAACTGATTATGCAACCTGTACTATTCTCATATCTTAGTAGTCAGAGGAGTAATTATGCCAATTATCAAACTTACTTGTTTAGACATGGGTGCAGCAGATGGGATTTTCAGCTTTTAACACTCTCTTTTGGGTCTGATCTACTCGCCTCCCACCGCTTTAGGAGCTGCATGTGCGCCTTGATCCACATAGGTGTGGTGGAGTTCCAACGGATGCAGAAAACTCAGTTCAACTGAGTAACGTTATAACGCAAATCGTGAATTTTGTTGTTGTTTAGAGGGGAGGTATACCCTAATATTAATTTGTCATCAGTTGTAGTCTTCTGGGTGCTGAGTCGAATGGTCTTGGACCGAGGAAGCTGCGACGCTCCCTTCCTACTTGAATCCCAATCGAACTCGCGCACTTCCACCGAAACTGGGTGACTGCGCCCTACTAGATGGGGATTTGTATGCAAAAGGTCACTAAAAGCGCCATTTCGTTCTTATAAAAGCACGGATGACCGCGATTGGCCGATATGTTGTAGTCTTTTGGACGCTGAGTCGACTGGTTTTGGTCCGAAAAGGCTGCGATGCAGCGTTCCTCCTTTATTCCCAATCGAACATGGTTGAACGAGCGGTCACGTGCTCCTGGGTGCCCAAATCACCTGGTCACCGCGCCAGCAGGCGACAACTTTCACAACAAGGTTCAACTCGAGTTCAACTCGAGTGACAGGACTGCACCCAAAAAAGGTCAAACAGGCTGGTAAGTTGTAACCTGCAGGCACGGTGACCAGGTGACTGGTGTACGCAGGAGCACGTGACCGCTTGTTCAACCATGTTCGATTGGGAATAAAGGAGGAACGCTGCATTGCAGCCTTTTCGGACCAAAACCAGTCGACTCAGCGTCCAAAAGACTACAACATATGGGCGTATCGCGGTCATCCGTGCTTTTATAAGAACGAAATGGCGCTTTTAGTGACATTTTGCATACAAATCCCCATCTAGTAGGGCGCAGTCACCCAGTTTCGGTGGAAGTGCGCGAGTTCGATTGGGAATAAAGGAGGAAGGGAGCGTCTCAGCTTCCTCGGACCAAGACCATTCGACTCAGCACCCCGAAGACTACAACTGGTGAAAATTTGTATTTAGGGTATACTTTCCCTTTAAACCTGCCCTAAATGTACCCGCATTGTTTGTGCATTCACATGATATAGGGATAGTTGTGTGAGGATTGCCTTGGCTTTGCAACGTGCATGAAATGCAGCGATACAACAATGACCTAGCTGGTAGTATCTGTTCTCTTCTGCCCTTGTGACCTAGGTATATACAATGGCGCTGCACGTAGCTATGGAGAATGGCAGTATACCTGTGCACCAGGTGGTCAGCTGACTTGGGAACTGTTCAAGGGTGACGTCACCTATGGTGTAGTCCATCCTCGTGATCCTCTGCCCGAGAAGGCAACGGTGCTGGGACCGGGATGTCGCGTCAGGTGAGTTGTTGCTGCACGGTGTTCTCAGCATGTTGGGGGTGCTTGTGTGTGTGTGGGGGGGGGGGGGGGGGGGTGCGTGTATGTGTGTGTGTGTGTGTATGTGTGTAGGTGGGCGTGTGTGGGTGTGGGTGGGCGTATGTATGTGTGTGGGTGTATGTGTGGGTGGGCGTATGTATGTGTGTGGGTGGGCGTGTGTCAGTATCTCAGTATGTTTGCATGTCTATTCCAAGTGATGTACTTTAGAAGAGCATGCCGCTGCGACCTGGCCTTTCAAAAGAACATGGACCGCATCAGGGAGTTCCCGCCGATGCTTGTACTTAAGCTTGCATACCGGCCGGTTGCTAAATGTCAAAAAGGCAGTGTGTCTGGTGCAAACCATTATGATAAGATGATTTTATGCATGTAAAGCTCTTTGTGTCCATCGTAGTCTTAGGCCTGATTTCTGTTCCCTACTGTGTTGTGTTTGAATGCAGATTCAATCCGGCGGCAGACTACAACACTGAGTTTGATAACACGGGTGCAGCACGACCGCAGACCGACCGCCCGTCTCTCTCGCTGAAGGCCTGGGACTTGACGTCGGGCGTTGCCGCCGGAACGTACGGCGTGGACACCCGCTCCACGCCGGACGACCACACGAACGCGTACAGCCAGAACGTCACGTACGCCTACATCAGCATCACTAGCGGAGCCGACGCTCCAGTTCTGGTTGTCGGGGGCAACACTAGCACGTATACGGTGACGTACGTTGAGCCAATTCCGCCGACGCGCACCGTACTCCCCGTACTCGTTACATCACCAATGCTCTCACTATCGGACGCCGACAACGCCTCGCTGCACTCCGTAACTGTTGTCTTGACAACGCCGGATAACAGCACGTACGAACAGCTACGATTCAACACGGCGGGTACAGGCCTCGTCATCAATGCACTGCCCTCCGTAGCTACGTCACTCGTGCTGCAGATCGCACCCTCCACGGGACAGCGAGCGCCGATCGGTGAATTCCAAGCCGTGCTGCGAACAATGACCTACGAGAACAGTGTCGAAGAACCGGACGCGGTCAATCGCCTTATCACGTATGATATATTTGATGACGTCACTTTCTCATCGTTCACGAGCACGGTCAAGATCGAGCTGCGTAACGACCCACCGGAGTTGGATCTGGACGTCAACGCAGCGGGCGCTAACAATCTCATTTCCTACACGGAGGGTGACGGCGCCAAAGAGGTCTTCACGTCGTCATCGCAGTTTTCCCTGCTCGACTACGACAGCACGATGCTGAGCAGCGTAACGGTGACGATCCGCGAGGCGTTTGACAGCGCCTACGAGGTCCTTGCTGTCAACGATACTCTAGGCACATCCATCGCGGTGGCGTACAACGGCTCGACCCTGCACCTGACCGGACCAGACACCGTGCTCAATTTCCGGACTGTTCTCACCACGCTGACGTATTCGCACACAAACTTCATGCCGGGCAACCCGGACATGAGCACTCGCTTCCTCGACTTCGTGGTCAGCGACGGCAAGAACGTTTCCTTGCCCGCCGCAACCATGGTTACATTCACCGCCATCAACGATCGCCCATATTTGGACCTGAACGGGAACGCGAGCGGTGTGGATTTCTCCGTACGCATGAAGGAGCAACAGGGTCCGGTCGTGATCGCGGCGCCTGACGCGTTCATCATCGAAGTCGACAACACGACGTTATACACGGCGACCGTACGCATCACCAACCTGCTGGACGGCGAGTTCGAGAGTCTGCGTGTGAGCAACGTACGCGACTACAGCGACAACATAACAGCGCGAATGCTGACCGTCACCAACATCTACCCAATGCAAGTGTACGATAACACCACTGGAACGCTCGTCGTCAGCGGGCTACACTCCATCGTGGAGTACGAGAAGGTTCTGCGTACGGCACGCTACAACAATCGCCGTGACGAACCGCACCTGACGACGCGTCGCATCGAGTTCGTTCTCTCGGACGGCCTGCTCGACTCCGTCCCGGTGTACGCCGACGTAGTGTTTGATGCGATCAACGACTCGCCCTACTTCCATGCGGGTGTGCCGGTTAGCGAGCCACACATTAACGAGGACACTGCGGATACCAGTAACCCCGGCGTATCGGTGGAAGAGCTGCTGCAGCCGCTAGTCGGGGACGACGATCGGCAGAGCGTTCTTGGCTTGGCCGTGGTCGGTGCAGACAGCTCCAATGGCCAGTGGCAATACACAGTGGACTATGCCGACAACACCACACTGTTCAATGGCAGCATGGGTAACGATACATTCGCAGGAAACAATACCGACGCCGACGACAATGCCACCATGTTCAGCGCAAGCTGGCAGAGCATTCCGGGAGCAGTTGCCACGACAACGGCCGTCCATCTCCGCGGCGACGGAGATCGCGTTCGAATCCGCTTCGTTCCCGACCGGGACTTCAACGGGCCTGTCGAGCTGCGGTTTGTGGCGTGGGATGCTACGAATGGTGTGCAGGACGGTGGAGTGAGCAACGCTGCGGACGTGGGTCTGCTGGATGCGTATAGTAACACAACGCGTACGATGACGCTGACAGTGGACCCGATCAACGATGCCCCCATCCTCACCACCACACTGTTCAATCTGTCCAGCATACTAGAGGACAACAGGAATGCGTATGGCAATACCATCCAGTACCTTGTCACTAACGCCATTGACGTGGACACGGAATCCTCGCAGGAGTTTGGCATCGCGATCGTCGGCACGGACGAACACAACGGCACCTGGGAGATCACCGTCGACAACGGCGTCACATGGACGACACTTTCGAACATCAGCTGGCTCAGCGGCACCGTGATGAAGTCACGACCTGTGCTGCAGCACCGCATTCGTTTCTCGCCGACGCTCGACTTCCACGGTCAGGCGTCGTTCACGTTTGTCATCTGGGATCTGACGGACGGCTTTGCTTCCGGCAATCGTGATGTCGACGTTCTCAGTGCCGACGCCGTGACAGGAGCGTACAGCACTCGCACGGCTAGCGCAGTCGTTACGGTCGAGGCCGTTAACGACAGTCCGGTACTGCTCGCCGGTGCTCACCTGGACACCATCCTCGAGGACGTTGCCGTTGACGATAACACCGGGACGAGCATCACGGACATTCTCTCTGGTGCTTACACAGATGTGGACTTTGACGCTGTGACAGGTCTTGCCGTCATTGGCGTTGACAACCGTTTCGGTCACTGGGAATACTCCTGCCCCGGTGCCATTGGCGGGGGACATAATTTCACACGATTTATCGGCGACCTCCAGTACGGGGTTATTGTTCCGCCCAATCCACGACCCGAGAAAGCAACGCTGCTGGCTGGCGACTGTCGAATCCGCTTCCTACCCGTGTTGAACTTCAACACGCTGCGCGATTTGAACGGAGACCTGAGACCCATCGGCGACCGACCCTTCATCACCATCCGGGGTTGGGACCGAACGGGCATTAGCGCCGGCAGGTCGGGTCGTCACGGGCAGGACACGACCTATAATAACGACAGCCACCTGAACGAGTTCAGTGCGGCCACTCACGCGGCCACGATTCAGATCACGTCGATCGACGATCACCCACTCCTTTCGCTCAGCTCCGCGAGTCCGTTCCGATTTGTCGCAAACTACGTGGAAGACTCCCAGTTCGTGCGGATCGTTCAACCCGACGAACTGACTCTGCGCGATCAAGACCACAGTCGAATGGAGCAGATCACGTTGACACTGGAACGAGTCTACGACGTGGATAACGAATCAATAACGCTGCAACCTCCGGTCGGTTCGTCGGTTTCGTATGATCCGACCACTGGCTTGGCTCTGATTAGTTTCAACAACACAGTCACCGAGCAGCTCATAATAACACTGCAACAAGTACCTGTCTTGGATGACAGTGCCAACGCAGGTAATCCCGACTCGGGCTTGGGTAACGGCACAATTGACGGTGGAAACGCCACGATGGATGGTGGAAATGCCACGATGGATGGTAATTCTACACTAGATGGTAATGCTACAATGGACGGTAATGCCACAATGGATGGTAATGCTACAATGGATGGTGGCAACTCCACGCTGGGTGGAGACAACGCCACGATTTTGTACTACCAACTCAAACTAGTGATCAGGTCAGCCACACAGCAGCGGCGAGTCAGCAAGGAGAGCTATGAGGCACTGCTCCGTACCCTGGTCTACATCAATCACAACACTGAGCCGAACAACACCGCAAGACTCATCACGTTCGCCGTGGACGATAGTGAAATCACTGACCGGCGGGCGTCGACGGAGTTACTCACGACGCTACTCGTGGACAACGCGCCGGAATTGAATTTGACAGACACGGAGCTTTCGTTCACCGAGAACCAGGCGGTGCCGATCGTTGACCTCACACCCGGACTCTCGCTGTACGACTACGATCACAACGTGTTCTACGGCATGTCGGGCGCCATGGCAGTGCTCAGTCCCGCGCCGTTGAGCACCAATGAGACGCTCAGTGTCGACTCGGATTTGCTGAACCTGACAAACATCTCGGCTGTGTTCAGTGCCAGCTCCGGCGTGCTGTCTCTGAGCGGACTGGACACGATATCACGCTGGGAGTCCGTGTTGCAGACCATCATGTATACGAACACGGAGACCGAACCGCAGCCTCACAACCGCACCGTCACCGTGCGAGTGACCGACTCAGCCGGGCTCGTCAGCAACGACATCACAATCCACGTGCTCATGAACCTGATCAACGATCGCGTTCCCACCATCGCCATACCCGGTCCGTTCAGCGTGCGTGAGCATCCGAAGAACGCCACAGCAATCGGAGGTGGACTTGTGCTCGCCGATGCGGACAGCGGTGGATTCTACCAGCACAGTGTCACCATAGTAATCAGCAATGGGATGGACGGCAGTGCTGAGAGAATTCGTATGCTGAATGTGCCGGAGAGTATTAACGTCAGTGCATCTCTGTACACGCTTGATCTGATTGGTCCGGCGAGCATTGCCGACTTCCAGCAGGCGTTGTCCTCGCTCACCTACATCAACACGGCCGAGGAGCCCAGCCCGGAGGTGCGCATGATCTCCGTGCAGGCGAATGACGGGGTGTTCGACAGCGCTGTCGACTTCATCTACGTGTTTATCAACCTGACCAACGACCTTCCGGTGTTGGATCTGAATGGACCGCAGCAACCTGGATTCAACATGATGGTGAACTACCAAGAAGGTATTGGCCCGGTCAGCATCGTCAGTCGACAACCGGCAATGAACGTCAGCGGTGTGAACGATACGCTTGGAAACGGCACCGCTATGTCGGTCATGTCGGAGCTTACGGTTTCCGATAACGATCACGGTGAGCTGATCAGTGCGATCATCGAACTCGATCAAGTGCCGGACGCTCCGAATGAACTGCTGGATGCCACGGTGGATAATTCAAACATTAGCCTATCGTACGACGCACAGTCCGGTCGTCTGATGCTGAACGGAACGGACACCCTGGCCAACTACCAGCGGGTGCTGAGATCCGTAACGTACGAGCACGTCGAGTCCGACCCGGGCCACCCGGACACACGACCGCGCAACGTAACGTTCATCGTAAACGACGGCTCTCACGCCAGCGTCCCCGTGTGGGCGCTAGTCACCTTTGAGGCGGTCAATGACGCGCCGATCCTGGATTTGAACCCACCGGACGCAGCAACGACATCATTCACGGCTACGTTTACCGAAGAAGCCGGCTCGGTGGCCATTGTTGATACCATGGCAACCCTGGAGGACATCGACTCTGCCCAGATCGAGTCGCTGACGGTACTCATACTGAACGTTCTCGATCCGACCTACGAGATCTTGTCGTTTGCGCTGACGCCACAGCTGCAGACGGTGTTCTCCGACGGAAATCTAACATACGACTCCTGGTCCGGACAGCTCAGCATGGTGCAGTCCGCTCCTGTCGCCGACTACCAGGCTCTACTCCGCACGCTTCGCTATGACAACGGTCGCGACGAGCCTGACTTCCGCGATCGCGTTGTCCAGGTGATCGCCAACGACGGAGCGCTTGACAGCACGCCGGTGTTTGCCATGGTGAACATGGCCGCCGTCAACGACCCACCACGTCTCAATATCACGGACAGTGTGGATGGTGTGTACCAGGTTAACTTCACAGAAGGAGACGTACCGCTGGCGATTGCGGACATGGCCAGTTTGCTGATCGAAGACGACGACGACGAATACCTCACGGAGCTGCACGTGTCCACGTCGGGTGTGCGCGATCCTGGCTTCGAGGCCGTCTTCGTAGACTCCGCATCTCTCCCGGAGAACTTCACCACGATGGTGGACATGGAGGATGGCTGTCCGTTGCCCGGGATGGGCCGCACGGACCTGACCATCAACATGAACTTGTCGATAGCCGAGTGGACGGCGGTGCTTTCCGCGCTGCGCTACTGCAACCAGGACGAGCACCCGGTGAGCGCCGACAGACACATCACGATGTTCCTGCGCGACCCCAGCGGTGCCATGACAACCACACGCCGCACTGTGGTGCGCATGCAGCACGTGAACGACCCACCGTACCTCAACGTCAGCGACGTCATACCGGAACGCGTGCTGCTTCTCGAGGACCAGAATCACAGCGTTCCCGTGCTGTTCGCCTACGCAGATCACGAGGAAGTGCTCGACGGTACCGCGATCCGTATCGTCGAGCAGCCCACGCCGGGTCGGGTTGTGGTGAATGTGGCGAAGGGCTCCCTGGACTTCTACCCCAAGCTCGACGACATCGGCAACAGAACGGTCGTCTACAAGATCTGTGACCAGGACGGCGACTGTTCGGAGGAGGACAACATCACGTTCGTCCTGCGGCCCGAGAACGATCGTCCGCGCGCCGTGGAGCCGCTCACACTTGTCATCGATGAGGATACGCCGATGGTGGTGAACTTATCCGATTACTTCAGCGATGCAGAAGATGACCTGTTGGAGAACGGATTCCCGCAGGTCAACGTTGCTAGCATCGGCGGAGCCACGAAGTTTACATTCTGGTTGTCCGGTCTCTATCTGACGGTGACACCGTTTCCGAACGACAACGGACAGGATCTGCTGAGCTTCACGGTGTGTGACAGCGCCGGCCTCTGCACGTTCATCGAGGTTACCGTGACGATCAACCCGGTTAATGATCTCCCGTCGGCCACCGCGCTGGGCGGTGCGCCGGTGCAGACGGAGTCTACAAACGAGGACACTCCGTTGCTGATACCGATCACAGTGGGTGACCTGGAGGATCGCGCCTTCCTTAACGTGACCGTCGTCGAAGTCGGACACGGAACTGCGGTGCCGGACACGACACAGCTCTCGACGCGCGTGCGCACTTCGGACAACATCTGGCTGCAGAGCATGCACCTGCTGTTCCGTCCTGAGCTTAACTACTACGGGGACGCTGCATATGTTGTCTACTCGGTACGTGATAGCGATAACGGAACAGACACAGCCCGAATCAACATCACCGTATTCTATCAGAATGACGCTCCCGTGTTCAACATTCGCACGCTGGATACGGCCGAGGACACCGCACTGAGCGTGAGCCTGCCCACCGCGTTGGACATTCAGGACACCGAGGACGTGGTCTTCACCAACAACATCACGCTGCTAAGCGACGCGAGTAATGGTACGGTCACGTACGACCCGCTCACTGGCACTCTCCTGTACGTGCCGCACCTGAACTTTTTCTCGCGTCCGACGGCACGTGTGGAGTTCGTCATGCAGGTGTGCGACACGAACGCCGTCAATCCGGCCGGGCATCTCTGCACGAACGCGACGATCACGATCAACGTGACGTCGGTGAATGACGTCCCCTTGGCGCCCGCCCTCGCGATGACCGTCGAGGAAGAAAGCAGCGGCACTATCGACCTGTACTCGTATCTGTTCGACGTGGAGGACGGTAAACCACCGATCGCTGGCGTCACGCTAGACCTGGCAAACACGGCAAAGGGAACGGCGATATACGATTCGTCGACCGGCGTAATGACCTACACAACGAGTCCGGGCGCGTTTGGTGCCGACGTTGTCCACTACAGCGTCTGCGACTCGGAGAACGCTTGCAACACCAGCGGTGTCATCATGGTGACTATCTCCCCGTACAACGACGCACCAGTGGCCGGCAACTTCTCTCACAAGTCTCGCGAGGACGACTTCGACCTGATCGCCATCTACGAGCACATCGGGGATAATGATACGCAGAGCAATCGAGATGACCTGCTTGCCGAACTGAAAATAGCGCTGATCGACACCACCGGAGCGTACCAATCACAGCTCTCCAGCGCACAGAGTGGGCTGCTGCGTGTGTACCAGGTGCATGGCATTATCACGTATCAGGCGCCTAACAACTACGTCGGGTTCGACACGTTCAAGTACTCGGTGTGCGATCGCTGCGACCCGCGTCGCAACGTGGAGCTAGGGCGCACCAGCGTGATTGATCCGCCGTGTATTCGCCAGCTCACCAGCAACGGTGGTAGTTACACGACACCGGGCAGCAGCGTGTACATCACCTGCAGTGAGGCCGAGGTGGACCTCCGTGTGGTCAATGTCAACGACGTGCCGACCGTACGCGACATCAGCGTTACCACGACAACTCAAGCGTCGGTGTTGATCTCGCCGCTGACGATGTCCGTGCGTAATGGCAAGTTCACCGACGCGTCGGCGTTCGTGTACGATCGGGACGACAAGCAGGGTGACGACGCGGCGAGCATCGGCCTCGACCTCACCCTGTTCAATCTGTCGCCGCGCACCGACATCAACACAACGCACCTGGCCGCGGTGTCCACACCCGTCAACGGCACGGTTGCCACGGAATACGACACGGCCACGTCTGGCATTGCTCGCCTTCGCTACACACCGCGACCGGGCACGTACGGGTACGACAGCTTCCAGTTTGAGGTCTGTGACCTGCCGGTGACTGGCGTCAAGGCTGCGTCCTGTACTAAGGCTACGGCTCGCGTGTACGTCGCTCTACCGGGGCCCAAAATCGTCAGCGTCACGGCATTGGGGGATGTCGGTGTTGCCGAATCCAATCAGGACTCCAAGTTCTCGCGTCAGGATCGTATCACAATCGAGTTTAGCGAGGCTACTAATTTGGCGCCCGTCGGTGAGCTCAACAAAGAGTTTGATACGTATGATATTGACCAGCTGCTGCTGTTTGCCGATCCGTTCATCAATCCGGTGACTGTGAATAACCGTTACAGTGCATCGTGGACGACGAGCAGGACGCTGCAAATCAACATCGTCGACGAAGGCTACCCTCAGCCGAACATCACGGCGGGTGTCTGGAAGGTCGGGGTCAACTCTTCCGTCGCGCCTTGCAACGGCTTCGATCCCGTCACAAATATCCCGTACTCACAGAACGAGAAGAGCAAATACTGCCTGTTAACTGCCGATGGACTCAGCTTGCACACCGTACAAGATGTAGCCGCACTGCCGACTCTCACCGGCACGTTCGGCAGCAAGATACCGTCGGTGAACGACGTCATCTATCGCAGTACCGGAGTGGATCCTCTTGTGGTCGAGGGCGCCACCGAAGACTACTTTGGGCCGGGGTCCGAGATCCTCGTCTACCTGAAACCGCCCCTCAGCGCCCCACAGCTTGAGGAGCTGTGCTGGAACACGGCTGATGTCGTCTTTAACTACAACACACAGTCTTCGCTCGGCGAGGGTACGGAACTAGGGCTGAGCAGCTGTGCTAACGTGATGGCCGATGGAACCAACGCTGCCATGGTGGAGCAGCCGACCAGCGGTGCAGAACTGCCGAGACTCTCCGGCGAGCGCAAGAAGAGAAGCCTGTCTGCTGACGACGTGCTCGGTCGTAGCAAACGTCAGACGGAGTCGAGCCTCTCCGCGCAGCCCGTGGCATCGCAGATCATCCTGTTCGTGCGCATGTACGACAGCCAGGGTGTGTCGCCGGTGACGAATCCCAACGAGTTTGTCACTCGCGTTCGCCAGAGCTTGAATCTGGACACCATGCGGCGGGTGGCGTACAGAGATGACACCAGCGGTGAACCAGCACAACCGGTCTTCGCTCCGGCTCTCTACCAGCAACACACATCGGACAACACGCCGATCGCAACCAGTTTCTTCGCCGCTGATCCGGACAATAACGACAATGTATACGGTGTCGGTGATACGCTGACCATCGTGTTCGACCGCCCCACCGACCGTCCACTCGTCGGACTAAAGTCACAGATCCTGCAGATCTTGAACTTCTCCACTCCGATCGGCACGGACTATGCCGGCAGCTGGATAAGCACAGACACGTTGGTCATCACAATCACGAATATTGATGCTATAGCAACTGAAAATCTACCAAAGTTGGGCTCATTGAAGTTCACCTTTAAAGAACCCACGCTTACAAACCGCCTGCCTTCCTCGTCGAGTTATCTACCGTTCAGCCGGCCAAACTGCATTGGTACTAACGTGTGCGGTGGAAACGAGACGTCTGCTACTATCGGCGTGTGCGCCATGGGCAGCACGTCGTGTCGTGCTACCGGCCTGGGACCGACGCTGGAGGGAGATTTCGGTACGGGTGCCGGACTGCCGAGCACGCAGAGCATCTGGTGGATCTCTCTCATTATCCTGCTGGTGGTGATTGTGGCTCTGGGCGCCGGATACGCCATACACCGCCATCACAAGAACGCGGCGTTCCGACGCGAGGCCATGCGCTGGGTCCGTCGCTGGCAGCACGACCCGGATGCCAAGGGAAAGGACCGTAAGGTGCCCTTGACCAAACCGCCCGCGCCACACGAGCCCTGGAGCCGTCCGACCGGCATCGGGCCGATGCGCGACGTGCCGGATCCGTTCGAGAACCTCCCGGCGGTGGCTGACTCTGGTGTGGCTGGACCTCTCAGCGGTCTCGGCTCTCGCACCACCAGCCAAACATCTGGCGTTGTGGACTTCCAGCCGCGTAGACAGCCGAGCATTACCGGTGATCTGGGACTGGCAGGGGCCGCATCTCTCAATAGATCGGTGAGTACGAGTGGAGATATGGTAGTTATAGTAGTGCGCGTGCATGTATTCCTGTGTACGTGTAGTTGTGTGCGTGTGCGCGAGCGTGTAGGCAACCAAAGAGTAGCAGGATAATTCCAGCTGACAAATATAACAATGCATTCTCATATGTATCCACGTGTGTGTGTGTGTGTGTGTGTATGTGTGTATGTTGTGCAACACACGCGTATGTACCTGCATATCTTTTTATGTATACCACTGCATTGTGTCACACTCGCTAGGTTCTTCCGCCGTTGAAGCGCATGACCACACAGGACCTGCCCAGCGGTCCACCTCGCCCTGCACCGCTCGACCTGCCTCCCCTGAAGCCGATGCCACGGCAACCGTCGCTCGGAATCGGTCTGCAATCTACGCTCCCGCCGAGGAAGCTTGCTCCGATTGGCGGGGTACAGTTCGACCCAGCCGCTCTGCCATCGGGAGCTGCAAGCGGAAGCAGTCGACCCACTCTGCCGCCACTCAAGGGTTCCATAGAGCCGATCAGTGCGAGTCTGCCGCCTCCGGTTTCGCTGTCTCCGGTTAGGCGGCCGTCGCGGAAGAGAGTTCTTCACGAGACCATCGACTCCCAGTCATCAGGTAAGAAGATAGAGGCAGAGAGAACCGTGTGTATGAGGTGTACTCATGGATACATGACTCAGATTTTCTTCGAGGAGACTTGCATAACTATCATTGTCACATTGAACATGATGATGTCCAGTTTCTGGACGATGCTAGATATGGTATTCGTTTCACAAATCAGGGGACAGATCAGTCGACCTCTTCTTCTTGAGATATTATTGGCCTAAACGGTCTTGTCCCTGACATCCTTTCTTCTTGTCTCTCTCTCTCATCATTCATTTCTCACTTTTTTTCGTGTCACATTCTCCCTCCTCCTCTAAAACATCCTGTCTCTCGCGTGCACTTTGTCTCTCTCTCTCTCTCTCTCTCTCTCTGTCTCTCTCTCTCTCTCTCTCTCTCTCTCTCTCTCTCTCTCTCTCTCTCTCTCTCTCTCTCTCTCTCTCTCTCTCTCTCTCTCTCTCTCTGTCTCTCTCTCTGTCTCTCTCCCTCTGTCTCTGTCTCTCTCTCTCTCTCTCTCTCTCTCTCTCTCTCTCTCTCTCTCTCTCTCTCTCTCTCTCTCTCTCTCTCTCCCCCCCCACGCACACAGGTATGTTCGAGAACCTGACGGCTACAGACACACAGACCGGAGAGTCGGCAAACCAAACGGCTGAATCCGAGCCCACCTCCGGCGCGTCAGATCCACAACTTCTCAGCGACGCCTCCAGCAATGGAGACCTCAGCGGGGCTCCAGCCTCTCCTCGTGGTGTCGGGCCTGGCAGCAGGCGACCTGTTCTAGCACCTATATCTCGACGCACATCCTCATTCAATACCCCAGAAGATCTTGGTGAGTGGAAGACGCATTCGTCATCACTAGCTGCGTGTCCCTTTATCCAGCTTGACCAGACTTGAATGACATCATTGAACAACCGTTTAGCTTACACAGTGGGTGGTGATGTGTTCCCGTGGCATTCAAGACGTTCTTCATCTATCCAGAGTTCCTCTGTATCTATTTCGCTGATGCGAATTGCCTTGGAGGGGGGGGGGGGAGAACTTGTTTTCTCTGCAGATATTACGCGGCTCGCACTTAATTCTGTCCAACGCCTCTTTGTTTTCATTGTTACCTGTGCAGGTTTCCAAGGCAGTGCAGTGAATGCACCTCCAAGGTCTATGCGCCGTCCATCCGGAGCGGATCCATTCCCTAGCACGGCCCTGAGTCGACAGCTGTCACAACTCTCCAGACAGGGTGAGTACAGTTTCTTGTCCGTGCCGTGTTCTCTAAGTGATGTTGATGTTGATATCATCTCCACATATACAACAGGGGTTCACTTATCTGCTCTACTGCAGTTGTTTTTATTATTCGGACTTCTGGGTTCCTGAAATCTTGCCTATTTTCCATTTTCAATTCCCTCAGCTAATGAATATTTTCCATTTTCGGAATAATATGTTGTGTAAATGTTCAGGCTCATTGGATGGCCCGGCTGCATTCAACTTGCCCAGTCCTCCGTCCATGTCAAGACCTGTGTCGCGACAGCCCACCACCACGTCGCTGTTCGGCGCCACGGGACGCACGCTACCCAGGCAGAACACGTCCGGTGCCATTTCACCCACAGCGGGCGGCACACGCCCCGCGGGCATGTCTCGCCAGAACACAGCCGGCCAAATCTCGCCGACCGGACGGACGTTCAGCCGCCAGACAACCGGGCAGTTTGCCGCTCCGCCGCGCAACACGTCGGTGTCCAGCGCCATAACCAGCCGCTTCCCGCAGGCTGAATCACGCCCTGGTGGTGGTGGTGGTGGTCCTCTGGACAGACCAAACGAGGACGGCAGCAATGCTAAGAAGTGATCTAAGGGTCCACAATAATAATTCTGTTCAAATTTCTCTAACTATTTGCGCATTTCGTATCCATTTCATCGCAATTCCCATTTCTTGTCAGAAGCATGAGTTCTAGAAAAGTGTGTCAACATTTATACAATGTTTAAACTAAAATTTTCCGTTCACGGCGGATATTTTTTCAAGCATTATGTGACGACGTGCTAGCAATGGCCACATCTACTTTGATCTGCTTGTTTCCAACATGCAACATGGTCTTTTCACAGTTCATTTAGCCAATGATTGGTACTGACTTCTTCTGGATTTCTTTTTCTCTGAAAAAATAGATTCCAGGTAAAATTCTTCTGTCTTCGAAGATTGTGGAAATGCATGTGCATACAGAACGGCCGATGTTGGGGGGGGGGGGGGGGGAGCAACCTGGTCCCGTTCAATAGTAGTGGTGGTGGAGGTGAGAGTTAGAGTGATCACCGAATAATCAGGCCACACTTTCTTTGTCCCATACTGTCTGCCCCTACAAGGCTACAGTGCTGTCTGGTGCGGAAAGTCTTCTAGGTCATTCTTCCTTTTCATGTAGAAATTTCTATCATTTTAAAACTCGCCATGTACTGTCGGGGACATTGAAATCCGTTGGGAAGTCAAGCGGCCACGGTGCGCACGCTGGCCTTGCAGCCCCAAGCACTGCTGGTTCTTTTTTTACAGTGTGTTCATGAACTACGGTGCATGTATGTGCTCTTATTAAAAGGCAGTCAGGGCGCCGGCCCCGGTCATCCCATCGGATTTCAATCAGTCCACGAGAGTACGTACGCGTTTCCTGTACATTTGGAAAAATCCTATACTGTTCATTCTTCAGCGCCTCCGTGTATCGTATCCCCGCATGCAATTATACATGTAGAGAGGTGGAGGAAATACACAGCTATGCAGACTGCTGGTATAGTGCTGGATAACAGCGGCGGATATGCGTGCACTCACAGTCTATACAAACCACTGAATGCCATGCACCATGCCCGGTGCAAGTCAAAATGACACCATAATTACGTTGGTCTCACATTTGCATGCCATGCAGTTCCGTATACATAATGCTTGCCCTTAAGAGCGGGCTGATCCCCCCCCCCCCCCCCCCCTCCCACCAGATATCAGTAGTGCAATCATCCAGTTCTTCAATGCCCGTCAAAGTGTGTGCTATGGTCAGTTCAGTGAATTGAATGCAGCACTGCCGGGTACCAAAGGAGAGTGGTACATGTATACACAAACACTCTAACCACGAAGCAAGCAGAAACTTAGGATTTTAACCCAAAAACCTCGGCGTTTTTTTTTAAATGATATCACAACAATCTCTCCTCCTTTCTTCTCCATGCACATCCGTTCACACTTGATTGATATCAAATGATATCATTGATTGTTATGGCCACTGTGACCAACATAACTTACAAGAAGGAGAACACAGCTTCAATGTCAACATAATCGATTTGACTACATGGACAAGAGCAGTCAACAATATGTTGTCATTACTAAAAGTAATATTTTCTTCCCCAGAGCAATATGTTTAGGCCCAAAGACACGATGTTGTTTGCTATGTCATAATTATTATGCTTTGGACGGTACGATGCTAAGAGCGTCTTTCACTTCTAACAAAGAAAATAACAATATTGAAAAAATACACCCTGCTTATAAATCTTCTCTAGGTACAGGTGCTTGTATATTATACTTTAGTGTTACACTGTTAGATTGCTTAACATGACGTACTACTGCATGATGCAGGAATCCAGACGGAGAAAGAAGGAAATGGAAAACGTATAAGAGGTAGTGGATGCATGCACATGCATACAGACGCACGTACATGTGCACACACACACGCACGCACCCCCCCCCCCCCCCCCCCCCACATACACACGCAAATTGATTATATCCCTACTCACTCTAGCACAATACTTTGTCCAGAACAGGGTTTCTAAAGTTACTTCCATTACTGGCCAGTCCACAATTCGGGCAGTTGCTTTCGCAAGCCCATACACTCAGAGATGTCTATACGCAGCGTAATCGCCTTGGTCTCGATGTCCTCGCTGAGTGCCACGTGTCGGGACATCAGCGCCTCGTAGTGTACCACAGCCTTGGCGTGGGCCCGGTGCAGCTGACGAATGCTGTCGTCGAGTTCCGCCGCTTCCTCGATGAGCCGGTAGTGGACTGGATCCCGTACCTGTGCATGTGTGAGGAGAGTAAGAAACGGACAACCGTGACAACCACTCCAGATCCTGTCTTCAGATAAGGCCACTTTGAAACGCAGTCAAAAGCCAATGCAAACGGGCGAAGATGTATCATCCTGGCCCCAAACCGCATCCTTGTACAACGCAACGCACATTCAAAATTTGATCATCCACGCCTTACATGCCCGAGGAACACACCCCCCCCCCCCCCCCAACACACACACACACGTGTGTCTTGTAAAAACAATTCTTCACACTTGTCCCACTTGTGTCTTTCCCTCAACCCAAGTGAACACACACTATCTATGGGGGAATCCCCTCCCTCCCCCCTCCCGTGGGAAAAGGGGCATAGGATGATGGTACTTACCAGCTCAATGTTGGGCCTGTCCCCACGCTGTGAGACTCTGTAGTTGGATAGCTGCAAGGCTGGGATCTTTTCCTGTGCGGCTGTTTGCAGTGCGTTGATGTCATTGCCAACCGCACAACGTTCCTCCTCCACCTAACAGCAAAACATACACACACGTGCATGTGCACGCGAACACAAACACACACACACACGCACGCACGCACGCACGCACGCACACACACGCACAGATACATGTCTGTGCAATTGATGAAGTAAAAATAAAAGTCAACAACAACATACACACGCAGACAATAAGCCCATTGTCCAATAATTTGTATCGCCAACACCCCCCCCCCCCCCACCCCCCACCCCCCCCCCCCCACCCCCCCCCCCCCACCCCCACCCCCCCCCCCCCCCCCCACTGCCACCTGGGCATGGTCGTGTGGGCTATTGAACAGTGCATTGCTGATCCCAGCGTATGAGCATACTCAAATGCATTACTCATGAAATCTATATTTGGCAATGCGCAACAGGCTTAGGCTAAGTTAGGGGCCGGCCGTAAATACACATGCCCAGCAATCGAGGACATCTGAGAGTTGTAATTTTTGTACTCCTCCGAGGTGTGATTTTTGGCGTGCTGGGCCAAGCACAAGGAAGCTATCTGCAAAAATGAAGAAAATGGTTGTTGTTTGATCCTTTGGTGTAATCTTTGTAGCTAGTCGAAGGAAGTTGCTGTTTGGAGGAGAAACGCTGAAATTGACTATTTTCTGCATGTGCTCATGTACTCAGGCATGCAGTATCACTCGTATTTTAGCTCTTTTTCTGGAATGGATGCTGCTCTGCGCCCCTTGGTGAACATTTCCTGCGCTCGTGGAGCAGCTGAAAAGGACCACTGGTATGTCTGGTTCCTGGTTTGAAAGTGGAGAGTTGACTTTTGTGCCCTGAAAAAGGAGTAGAGAGTGATAAAGGTACGTCTGTAGCTTATTTTGGAGTGCTCCTCGTACATTTTTGATCGTGATAGAAATTCTCACACCAAAGTCAGTGTGAAGATGGCCGTACAGTTTTCTTGTGGATTTTTTAGTTGTTTCGTCTCGTATCTATGTCAGTATCATGATGGTGAAGTGGAGAGGGTGATTTTCTTCCTCTAGGCTTCGTTCGGCCGACTTTGCTTCGTCCTCGTTGAAAAGTAATGCTGAAAAAAAGGTCGATTAGCATAATTATGTTGATTTTGAATGTACGTGATGACATGCGATTGCTGGCTATGATGTATTTACTAAAAAACATCTAAGAGGCGTTTCTTTCTTGACCCACCCACCCACCCCCAGAACCCCCCCCCCCCAGGAATGCACTCATAATAACCACTATACTATGCACACATAAAATTGAGTACTGATTGAGTACTATGCACACATATACAGTATAGACGACTCCACTTATAACGAACTCACATAATAATTATAGCGAATTTCGTGAGCGAACCCTTGTCCATGTCCCTGTTTGAACCCATACAAATTGACCCTTTATAGCGAACAGTCTCCCTGCCTCCCTGGCCACTCTGCCGTGACCCGTGCAGTGCAGCGTAGACTGTATATTATGAAGAAGCCTTGCTTGGTAGTTTAACATGTTGTTCGATGTTGACAGCATGTTACAAGGCGTGTGGACTGCAGTGCGTCTCAACGCCTACCTGTACTAGCTGCAGCAGTGCTGTATCTTGCAGATCTACATGTATACACACGGTATGGTATGCATGCACTCCGAAATGTATTTTTGAGAAACGCCTTGCCGGCAAACCCACCCACCAGAAACGCCTGTTAGACGTCTCTAAGTAAATACATGTAATTACGGACGGCCCCTTTTTCAATCTTTCAGCCCTGCTAGACATGTTGGTGTGTTGAAAACAGTGCAAAAGATCAAGTTCATATTATCCAAGTTCATATTATCCATACCTGCTGCAGGTGTGTCTCCAGCTTCACCTTTGCCTCGTTGGTCTCGTCGATACGCAGTTCAAACGCCCTGTTCGTGTCCCGTCGGCTGCTGTTGATGTCGGCGTGAGCTTCGTTCAGGATATCCTCGGCGATAGCGCCCAGCTTGGCGTACGCGTGGCATTGTTGCTCGGCTGCGGTGATGTTCGTATCGCTGAAGTCCTCCCATTCCGGCGGTGCAACCGATCTGCAGAATATTCGCACACCCCAGAGCTATGAGTATGAGGCTGCAATCAAGTCATCATGATGTCATGAAAACAAGGAATGATGATGTCATGGAAGTATGCATGATGTAATGGTGAGATTGGCCTGATGTGCTGATTGTACTGAAGTATCAGTATAGTTGTAAATACAATAATATTACGGTGGTGCCCTGATCTGCAGCACGAAACGCATATCCGCACACCCAGAACTATCCGGCTGCAATCAAGTCGCGATGATGTCATGAAACCAAGAAATGATGTCATGGAAAAAGTGATGATGTCATGGCGAGATTGACCAGTTTGCGTCAGTATACTGTAGGTCTACAAACTTTCGGCGCGTATACATTTCGGGCTCCCAGGGCTGAAGTACATTTCAGCCGCATTAAAATTTCAGCCTGTGCTGCTGCTGCCTGCATACACTGTCACACTAAACCGTGCAAAACAAAATTTCAGCCGCAAGAAATTTCGACCAAATACGCCCGGGCCGAAAATACCCGATAATAAATATACGAATAATCGACGCGCAGACAGCCATTTAAAAATAGCAATAAAGAGAACAAATTCTGCTGTCATCGCCACACTACACAACACAACGAAGTCACGAAAGTTTTCCAAAATCGATGATGACTTCGTTGTTGCGTGGCGATGACAGCAGTACTTGTTCTCTTTCTTGCTATGATAGATATGCGCCGAATGTTTGTTGATTTATAGTAACAGTATTGTGAATACAGTATACTGTAGTGCAGGATAGTTTGATGAGACACAGGATGACATGCCGGATGAGTAACACAATCAGTCCCCAAGTTTGGCAACTAACAGCAACACAGACTAGGGTGGTTACTGTACAGTTTGCTTCAGACTGCCTTATAAAGAGCTGTGGCAGGTGCTTCAGACTGCCTTATAAAGAGCTGTGGCAGGTGCTTCAGACTGCCTTATAAAGAGCTGTGGCAGGTGCTTCAGACTGCCTTATAAAGAGCTGCGGCAGGTGCTTCAGACTGCCTTATAAAGAGCTGTGGCAGGTGCTTCAGACTGCCTTATAAAGAGCTGTGGCAGGTGCTTCAGACTGCCTTATAAAGAGCTGTGGCAGGTGCTTCAGACTGCCTTATAAAGAGCTGTGGCAGGTCGATTATTCACCAAGCGGCCATTTAGCCTCTTCCCCGCACTCACTTGGAATCGATGATCGGCTGTTGGGGCATGTTGCCATACATACGCATCGTTCCTTCCGACTGCCTCTGGCAATCGCTGTCTATCGACAGTGCCATGTTCTTGTCCGATAGGTCTTTGTTGAGGTCGAACGCGCTCTTGCGCAGCAGCCTGCACAGCACGAGTGAACACATTTGAAATACAAGGCATTCAACGTAGGTTCTTTTCTTGTCCCTTCCCGGGCAGTGTGCAAAAGATACAAACTCAAATTGGGAGTTGGCATCAAGCCTTAAAAATACCAAAAGTGTGACCAAGGGCACGTTCGAATTGTCACTCTTTGACTTTTCGAGGAGTTTCGTTTTTCTAAAGAGGTGGCCTTATTTGGCCTCTTCAGAAAAACGAAACTCCTCGAAACTCCACAACCTCACAAACTCCGAAGAGTTTGGAATAGCTACGTCACGTGCTACGCGGAGATGGTCGATCTGATCGGACGTCATCATCGCCATGACATTTCCCCTGAAAAACTCTAAAATGGTAGAAACCGTTCTAATGGGACACTTCAACTAATCTCTTTAAAACATTTGTTCGAACAGTTGATGAAGACAATTCGAACGCCCCCTAAAATGTGCACATTGTTAGGAGCGACAACTGAAGAGTTTAGATGCAAAAGTGACAAACTCAAAATTTGACCGATAGAGATTTTGAGCTCAGTGCGACCAAATTGTCTAGCAGCACCCACAGGCACACACACGCGCACACACACACACACACGCACGCACACACACAGACACACAAGCACACACACACGCAGATAAAACACACACACGCACGCACACACACACATGCACACACTCACACACACGAATTACCTGAGCTGCTCAGTCACTTGTGATATTGTCTTCCTGAGCATGGATGCAATGCCTTCAAGCGTATCCTTCTCCTATAGAATCGAACACACATGCACACACACATACATAGGCAGGTGTACACGCAGATACAAACAGAGTGAAAAGGATGCCCTCCGCCCAATATCACTTGACAGCACACAAACCTGATATCACTGCTTCATTTCAAACACTTTGAACCATTTTTGGTGTTCACAACTAGTCTTGTTTTGCAACATGGGCAAGCCACCCTAAGCTGCATTCTCGAACAACACTGCTTCTGAGCAAGGAACAAAGGTTCTTTGCAATGCTGAACAAACTCGGCAAGTACCCTATTATCCGGGGGAAAAGCCGCACCCAGAATTTTTTTAGGAAACATCACTTCTCAACTACAAACTCCAAAACGGTCTCTTCACTGCGATTCAAATTTAAATTTACATTGCACCAATTTTTTCCGGGCCTGGCCTGTCATCAGGGTAATGATTTTCTTGTCACGAAATATTGCTATCCACTCTCTATGACCATTGATTGGACCGTCGTTGTACGGTCCTGCTTAATGAAATCCAGTCGCGTCACTCAAGTGTGCGCCTTGCATCATTCCGCAGCCCAGTGTTGGCAGGTCTATGGCTGAGCAACGTCTGGCGCATGCTCTTAAAAGTGATGCAACTGGATTTCATTAACCAGTATTGTACAAGCCTAGAAATAGTGGTTACGACTTGGGCGATGATTTGTAAGAAAGGGTTTGCTCCCCACACTGGAGCTCGCGCTATTCCGCCGACTTGACTTGACTGACTCACGACTGCCATCCAGCAGAGCACACGAGAAGTCCATAGAAAAAGCCTCATTGCCTTTTTATGGGTGAATTACGATTAAAGTGCAGCTTATACTCCGGATAGTACCGTAGTCTCTTTCATACTGATTGTGACTGCTGGGGGGTACGGCTCGTACCTTGAGGAGTTCCACCTGCACGTTGTCGTGTACCAGGTCGATGCCACGCCGTCGCTCTCTGTACGCAAGACATCGCTGGTTGGCCTCCAGTGGCATCTCGGTGTCTTTGAGCGCCGACTGGAGGCGCGTCAGCATGGCAACCGCCTGCTGAACGTGCTGCTGGACGTCATGTTCCTTGCGTGTGACCTGTAGTGGGGGGGGGGGGGGGATCGAAGACCGGAGACAATACAGCATCACAGTCAACCTCACGAACAACCTCATGAATAACAACCTCATGGATAACAACCTCGGGAATAACAACAACCGCTCATGCACGAGCCACGCTAACCCGTACATCTAGTTTGATCACTGCCAACCTTGAAATTTCCGCATCAAACTAATCACACATTCCAAACCCTCCATGGGATGTAAATCTCGCTATAATAATAATCTCTTATTGGCCACAGGCCATAGTGAGAATAACAACAACAACTCGCGGCTGCCAACACAATCCTCAGACATGCATGTAGTGAGCCAGAAGTGTCGGAACTGGTGCTGCGGCAGCAGCTGCGGCTTTGATTTTATTTCGTGATGTGCGAAGCAATTATGGGTTCTTTGGGCCCAATTTCCCGGGGGAAGGACCCCACACGCTCCACCCATTCATGGCTGCACCAATTTCGAATGCCTTCCGACGCCCCTACGTAACCATTTGTCTGCACGCGTTCAACCCCACAATCATGTTCTCATGCACTGTCTACAGATCAGCGCAAGGGTTCTAAGCTTCGCTTCAAGCAAGGTGCTCACCTCCTCATGCCAGTATCGGACATCATTCAAGCGCTGCTCCAGCTTCTTCGACACGTCCGCCTGCGTCCTCTCCTTGCGCTCGTGCGTCTCCTGGCGCAGTCGCTCGTGCTCGTCGCGCGCTCGCTCGGCTTGCGTGCGCTCGCGCTCCGACGAGTTGTACTGGTATGCGTTGCTGCCGTGCCAGTCCTGCAGCGAGTGACGGGTCGGCGGGTCCGTAGCACGGAAAGCCATGGCTGTGTGTCGGAGCAAACCAAATCACATCTGCAGATACTCAAGTATTGCCATCCAACAGCCGTTCACAACTTTTTGTTAAGAGAAGAAAGAGCCCCTCAAACGAAGGAATACGATTGTTATGTATCGGGGTTCCCCGCATGCTACTTTGTGCGTGAAGTACTAGGCAGTAGCAGTCACTTTACCTCACCAAGTATGCAAGTCATGAGACCCTGATCTCAGACAACCCACTCCAGCAACACAGAGTTCAAGTGGTCCTTTGAAAACGTCACATTTATCAATGGAATTTTAGACGAGGAAAGTCCCGATATTGACACAACAGTACAGACTGGCTGCTCCATAGCTCATGCTAATGACTGCAGTGTTCCTACAGAGGCCCCACATTCTCACACAGCTTTTTACACAGCGCTACAAGACCCACCCTTTCCTGGCATATACCGTACTGGCAATATATGTTGTCGCGCAACGCGTAACGCAGGGGGGTGCGGCGTAACGCGCGACCAGGCTAGTGCGACAAATTTTCGTTGCGTTCGTAACACGCGTCCGGCGGGGTGCGGCGATCTTTTCATTGCAGTTTGCACTGCATGCAAAGGCTGAAAATTGTGAAAGCACGTGTACCGCGTGGCAAAAGAAAAGGACTGCGGCAATATAGAAACCTGTGTAACGGCTCCTGTGCGACTTTGCATGTAACGCCCTGCGTGCGGTAAACATGTGCCAATGTAACGCTTCATGGCCTCACTGCGACCATATATATTGCCAGTACGGTATACGGGCATGGTCAGTATACCCATCCTCATGCTGCCTGATGATTGCGAAAGTATGAAACTTAAAGTAGCAGCAAACAAGCCTTGATTGCCCTAGGCCTCGTTGTTCTGACTACAGAGATATAATGGCGCAAGCTCTTAGACTTGGGTGCACAGCCCGTTCTGATTTTCCAACACTGATAAAATGCACCCCCAGTGTACTCTGATCAATGCCACCATGGAAACGTGAGATGGGTGAGCCCTTCTGTGTGTCCTCCCAGGAAACCAGTGGGAGATCTCCTCAGGCTGAATCATGCAAATCGCATGCACGTGCAAGATGTGCTAGCTACGTAGTGACCGCACCGTGTTCGACGCCCCTGACCTGCAGTGTACCCCCCCCCCCTCTCTCTCTCTCTCTCCCCTCCACGATAAGCACCATCAAGCTGCACGCAGTCGACTGTGAATGCTTCACTCACTGTTTCATCCCATCCTCACTATGCAACCATGATGTACTTGCCCATGTACATGTACATGTATATGCATTATTACGCACTACTAACATTTGCAATGAACATAATTATGCACTCGTTACTTCTATTTTCTCCAAGAATACCCCCCCCCCCCCCACCCCGAGGAGGTTTTTAGGGGTTGAATCCGAAAACGTGAAAGTCGACGTCTACACATCACTGTAAAAAATACAGAGTCCGTAGGAACGCAATCCCCCCCCCCCCCCCAGGGCCAATGCGCAGATGTGGCTCCTATGGTGGTGGGGAGGGGGGGGGGGGGGGGAGTAGATCAGACCCACGAAAAAGACCGAAAATCCCATTCACTGCATCCATGCTTCACTGTAACACACAGACTAAAAGAACGTGAAAGAACGCTCAAATCAGTGTCGTTCTAAAAGTTACGTACAATCATGTACGTTTTGTACGTGACTGTATACTCTCTTGCATTGTGGAGATCTTTTTCATTCGGAAAAACCAAACAAAAGCGATTATGATTGAGGAGAGCGAGCTAGCGGTGCTTACAAATGAATGTGTCACAAAATAATTTTGGTTCAACAGAAATGATCATCGCTGGCGAGAGGCTGTGCAGAGGGGCTTACCGTAGAATTATCTTGCTCGTCCAAGTTGCCGCACTCTAAATACTGCGGCTGCTAGTGTTTCAGCAGAGGCAGCGTCGATAGTTCCTATGCACTTGCGATGAGCTCCAAATAATTCGATTAGAAGACTGTCAATGATGTTTTTCGCGAATATCTTCTATTCGCTAAGTACCTGATGAAAAGTATGCTACTTCTTTCATGAACTACTGCCTTCCGAGCTGAGCGATGGAACAACGATTGTATTGTTACTGTTAGTGATCCTTTCTTTGTACAGTTTGGACGGCAAAGACTAAGTAGGTTGAGCGTTCGACCTTGCCGACTGCTTCAGTTTCAAACGGGACGCCTTTTCTTGGCTTTTGAACAGCTAGCTTCGACATGATTGACATGATCGACAGGTAGCGTTGGCGTTGGTGACATGCCAACCAAGTTGCTTGGTAACGACGATAATTATTTTTTTTGTCATTAATTTTACGATCATGATTGCACGGATTCATGTACAAGTCATACTACAGACTATAGAGTATAGTGCTGGCAACTGAAATCCGACCCCCTGAGCTGTGGGTTCACATTCTAGCGGTCTCTGTTTCGTAGTTTTACCATTCCGTACCGTATACCGTGTTGGGGGTCGTCCATAATTATCGAACTTTTTTCACGAAACGAAATAATTTCGTTATGGGGTGGAAGGGGGTTGACCAATTTCGTTTCAGAAAACTTCGATACATGTAAATGGCCATAGGAGCAGTGACACACTTGCGACTTTTGTTGTATATGCATGTAGGTATATGAACAATTTTTACGTTCTGAGGGGGAGGGAGGGAGGGGTTGGGTCTAAACTAAAATAATTCGTTTGGTGAAAAAAGTTCGATATATACGGACGGCCCCTTGGGTCTTTGCGATGTGAGCGCACCGCTCAGGGGTCGGATTTCAGTTGCCTGCACTGTAGTACTAGATAAACCTTGTTTGTTCAAACATGCTGTTGGTTCCAGGGTACGACAGAGCTCTCCGCCATTGAAGAAATTGTTGAGACGCCTCCACCATTACTGATTACACTGCGCTCTTTAGCCGACTAGACCCTCCTGCACACAACCATCACCACTGCGAGGACACTTCCGTAGACGATAGTAATAATTCCTTCAGACAGCCGTTTCGCTAATACATAGCTCATAATACACATACTGTTGTTTGGCAGCATTATAAAATTCTAATTTATAACAAGGTGGAGGACACCGTGTTCGGAAACAGTCAGTGGCCTTTCAACAACCATCCACTGTTGGTAGAGCCCCGGTCGGTTGCGACCATCTGAACCGTATGGGTGTTTCTGACCCTCTCTAGGGGAGTTGTCTTAGACTTCTTGTACCGTCACTCTCGTATTCTTTGTTCGCCCTTAGCCCTGGTTGTCTTCTCGATACTCATAATCCCAGTGGCGAGTTTTGTTCTGTCATACCGTATTATCTCTAATATAAGCACAGTCTCCAATAATAGCACGTCTCCAATAATAGAACACCTTGGGGCAGAATTCAAAAAATAAAGTGCTCAGTCTCCATTATAAGCACATTGTGTAAATTCATTATCTGTACCGGCGAAAACCCCCTGAAGTGTGTGTGTCTGACATGAATTTGGCATGGCAACATGCCTCTGAAATGAGGTTGAAATAATAATGGAACAGTCTCCAATAAAGGAACGTCGCCATTAATAGCACGGGGCGGAGGTACATTGAAAAAATTAAGGACCGTGCTTATATTAGAGATAATACGGTAACCCACAATGCCCTAGCGCCCTCGCGACCAGGGAGCCTTACTCCCTTGCTCGCGACTACTACCGCGCATTTGCCTGCTCAGTAATAATAATTCAGTGCTTCTTGTATTTCTCTGTTTCGTAGAACATGACTTACCAGTACAATGTATGCTGCAAAATCATTATTTCCATTTTCCGAAGCAGAATTCAAGCATTATCAGTGCTCAGGTTTTGGAGCAGAATGCGAGCATATTGCAACACAGAATCCATCAATTGTTGTTGTTGTTGATTATTTTTTAGAGTTTATGGCAGATAATAAAGGTATAACGAGGATATTCACAAAGGTAAGTACATGTATATCAATGGCAGAAAGAGCTTTTCGGAAGGGACCAGGGACACCTATCACTCTAAAATCAGAGGATTTCCCGGGGATTATCAGGCGGGGCCTAGTATGGGCACAACATAACAATAATTATTATTCACACTGAAGGAGGACAACATAAGTAATAATACACTGCAAAATGCTTCGGAAAACACGGACGTAAACAAGTGGTTATGGACGCGTTCGAATTGTCACTCTTTGACCTTTCGAGGAGTTTCGTTATTCTGAAGAGGTGGCCTTGTTGGCCTCTTCAGAAAAATGAAACTCCTCGAAACTCCACAACCTCATTCTTTGCGAGAGGTGGATTAGTTCCGCGGGGTTGAAGAATTTGGAATAGCTCCGTCGAGATGGTCGATCTGATCGGACGTCATTATCGCCATGACAATTCCACTGAAAAACTCTAAAATGATAGAAACCGTTCTATTGGGGCACTTCGACTACTAGTAATCTCTTTAAGAAATATGTTCGAACAGTTGATGAAGACAATTCGAACGTCCTTTAAATTTAGGAAATGAAAGCTGAGTAAAAGACCGAGGTGAAGCCGAGGTCGACCGCCGACCGGTCTTTTACGAGGTTTGCACATCCTATATTATTGATCTACACAAAGGCACACAATGAAAACGTTGGCAAATTCCGATGTGACTCAGATGTTTATGGCTGAGCCAATCATCAGACAATGATTGGTTAAGCCCTGAAACTCTGAGTCACAACTAGGGTCCAGCGGATAATGCCGGCATTATATTCGGCATTATACGACTATCCGAGCATCAGAGCATTATGGAGCATTAGAAAGGAACAAAACGAGCATTATGTTAGGTTTGAGCGGCATAACGAGTTTCATAGTGGATAATATCGGGAAATCCCAGGTTTTTGGCAACGATCGGCTACAATCATGATCATGAGATGTTGTCTGATGATTGGTTTTTGCCATGAAACTCTGAGTAACAACGAAGCAGCCCTATTTTACTCCTTTTGTGCACTTCTTGCGTACAGTACTACGCCCCAACCAGTCCGGGCGTTTGAGCACTATGCATTGTACCAGCGCATGATTTTGTGCTTGTGCAGGCACGTAACACCTTTGTTTTTTTAACGCTACATAACTATTGCGACATAAAAACGATACAATTGTAGCGATGTGGTCAGGTAAATGCATACAAGCCATTTGTGAAGCATGCCCAGCCGAGGCCGAGGCAGTTCAAGTGACACAAATCCGGAGAAAATATTTACGAGGTTTCTTTTACTTTTAGAATAATGGAGAGCTACGGAGGAGACATACGCGAAGTGAATATCAAACAGACGAAGAAGAGTTTTCTAGTTGTGCGAGAGGCTCTGGCGATAGCATCTCAAGCGATACTGAAGTAGACACTGATGCATTGCTAAATTTGGACCAGGATGAAGGAGCGGCTATAAACAGAAAGAGCTGGTTCCAAAAGAACTACCTTTGCCGAGTCCAGCTCAGGAGGCTCTAAAAGAACTAGAATTTCTCATGGACTCAGTACCAAGTCGATTGATCAGCAGCGCCTGTCTTACTTTCCTGATGAAGCACGTACAGTTAGTTGTGGACGGTTGTAATGCCAGGTCTACAGTCAAATGCTATCAAAAAGGAAGAGTATTGTGTCAAGCCATACGTCTACACACCATCTCAAGGAGAAGATGAGAGCACAAGCAGCGTATGTAGAGTGGCAAAATAACTTCTGCCCAAGTGTTTTCACGATTTCCGCAAATGGGAGGGCTCTCCATCTGAGACCGGATCTCAGGAGCTGGCCTCACGTGTGGTGTTTCATATGAAGACATTATTCACAGAGTTGACGCAGTGACAGCTTGTCTGTAGGCAGGAATACTATTTGCCAATTAGATAAACATCATCCCAACAATGAATGACTACCTGCAATAATGGTTTCATCTCTCACTACATGGATAATTAGGGGAAACATTTGATACACTGACCATTCTGCCACAACCCTACATCAAAGTTGGAATGGAGAGCAATCAATGGAGAAGCGACCATGTCTTATAGTGCCAAGGAGTGGTGGAGCTCGTGAGAGATAAGGTGGCAACTTCAGAAGCAGACCGACGATATGCATAATTTTCTGGAAGTTTGACAATGTGCAGACTTTCTTCCATTTTCGTACCAAACCAAGAGCATTATAGCCCTTGCTGAAGCATTATAATCAGCATTATTAGGCAGTTTTTGGAGCATTATGGTTAGCATTATATGAACATTTTCTGAGCATTATCCGCTGGACCCTAGTCACAACGGAATTTGGCAATTTGCCAAGGTTTTCACTATGTACATGTAGCTTTCTGTACGCCGCTCTACTTGAATCAGGTATCAAGCCTTTTCGCAGAACCTAAGCCTACTGCCTGGATTTATCACTACAATTTACAAATGAAACCATGTATTTGATCCCTAAACATACACACATGTACATGTACATGTAGTACATGATTGTATAAGCAGTCATGTACATACATGTACATGTAATTGTATATGGGCCATATTCATGATATTGGCCTACGAAGAGTAATAGAATAAATGTCATCAAAAATGAATTAGAAACTTACAACAGTTAGCGAACGGCAACGGGACACTGTGCCAAAACGGAATCCTATACCTACCAGACAATATGCACGTGGTAGGTGCTGTGGATCGAAGGTTCATCCCTGGATCAAGCGGAATCCTGTCACATCAGGACAGTTTCCGCTGCACCAAGCCAAGGCCGAGGCGCGTCCGGTTGGGCAGGTAACCTGGTTTGACAGACTAGTGACTGGCTGTAACTCACTGAGGGTAGTCTACCTGGCCTGGTCTACGGTACAGGGTAGCACTGTAGTTTAGAAAAGCGATCCTGTCAGCTTTTCTGAAAAGCGATCCTGTCAGCTTTTCTATTATTGTGTTCACATGGCAGAAAAAACGACATCGCTATGCTACGTAAGTTTCTACGTAAGGTGCTCGGTATTTCGCTTAGGCTACGTAAGTCTCTACGTAAGGCGCTCGGTATTAGATCTACCATGTACAACGCGTGGTAGCCGTGTGCTGTGCACGTGCACGGCAGACATTGTGTTCAGTGCATGCATGCAGTCCGCGGATCCGTGTTCGGATGTGCATGCGCGAGGAACTAATTGCTTCCTTCTTTGGAACTGCTTCTTGCATGAGCTGTTTCGGATATTTCGTCTCATGGCCTGGCTTATTTCGTTTCGGCGCTGCTGAGAACTCCTTTCGCGGAAAATTACTCAATGACAGGTGAGTTGACCAGTTGCCTTTGATTCATTTGCTTGTGTTGACTCTTTCATTCAGGAAAAGTGTGCTGCTTTTGGGGCGGAATGCAATAAATAATGGAAAAGTTGACAGGATCTCTTTTCTAAATTTTGCTTTTCTGCTGCCGAGCTGCGAGGCCTCCTTTTACGGAATACTCGAGGACAGGTGATCTCTAAGTTTCCTTCGATTCATTTGCTTATGTTCACCTTTCATTTACGGAAACGTGTGCTTATTTTATTCGGATTTAGATCCATTTTTATCTCTTTGCCCTTGTCTACAGTGTGCGAAGAACGCGAGTTCAACTTCTTGACGGTAAGGCTTATGTTAGATGTGTTGTCGAAATACTCATATATTATTCATTGTACATTGGTACGTTACAAGTAAGGCACTGGTCAGTGGCATACTATCGTTGGCAGTTCCCAATCTGGAGGGAAAGGTTCAAGTACCAATTGACCGAGTTTGCAAAATTAATTCGCATATCAGGGGAAATCTCTATTGTGGAGAGGTTCAGTAACTTGTTTGTTTCATACGAAACAAGCCAATGGGTGCAGTCTCGTCTCGTTAAAATCTCGTACTTGTATGATTGGATTTGTTTACTCAAGTCTGGGCTGTTTGATTTGTGAGTACCGGCGAGATTGCACTGCCCCAAATAAAGTTTCGTGCCGCCAAAGCAAGAATTACGATCTTCAATCTGTTTGTAGTACCTGTAAGAATGTGGAGTACATGTATCGTACTTTCTCTGTTGCTGTTTCAGTTGCCGTCATGTTGCTAAAGAAAGGTTCAGTAGAGAAATTCTGGAAAACGAAAATTCGAACGAAGTTTCGCGACAGTCCTTGCGAAAGTGTGCGAATTTTTGCACGAAGTTTGCGTTCTGCACATTTTCGTAGTTTGCGCGGGCCAAGTGCACGTACGCCATGACCTGATCTCACGAAATTTCCTACGACAGTTCATTTCGCGTTCCCTGCAAGTTTCGCGTACAAATGTGCGAAGTTTCGCACTTCATGATGTAGAGCGAAAGTTTGTACGCATTTTCGTTTTGCAGAATCTCTCTAGTGACTCAATTGTTTCATACAAGACCAGTCAATGAGTCGGTGTGGCTTAGAATCTTTCGCTGTAGAAGAAATCTATTCGTATGTCTATTGGAGATATAATTGTATTCTCTGGTTATAAAATAGGTTAAGCTCACAGAATAAATACCATCGGTCCCTTGGTGTTCGTCCTAAAGAGGTTCGCCTGGATATCATTCATACTCACCAAAAGATGTGTAAGATTTTATTATTGTGGAGTGCCTTGTTTATCTCTCAGTACCTCCAACCATAGCCTTGCCCCTTTTCTCCTCAGGATCAGTGTAGTTGTTGGAACGAGGTTTTGGACTCGGCAATGTATTCGTTTACATTATAATACATGTTTATTGTTCCTCCTTTGCTGTTTTGTTTTAGAAAATCGTGGACTAACAGTTTGAAGTCATTGAACTACTTCCAAAAGTTGTATCGTCATCAACAGGATTACCATTTCAGTGCAATATGATGCAGGATGACCTTATCACGATAACCCATGATTATAAACCATTAGGGGCCGTCCGGGGTTACCGATAGTTTTTGCAAAACGAAAAGTTTTAGTATTTATCAGCACCCACCCACCTACCTTTTCTACAGGTAAAACGAATCCCAATAAAATATTGATGTCAATTTTCGACACCCAAAAGTAACTGGGCATTCTCCATCTGCATTCAATAATTATTTTCAAAACGAAACTCCTTCAAACTCACCCCCAAACGAAAACTTTTAGTTTTGAAAATACTATTGGTAACCTTGGACGGTCCCTTATGAACACAGAATCAACAAAAACATCTGCGACATGCACCTAGCTACATTTCTCAAATAAATCTGATCGAGGGTGGGGAAATCTGAAATATCTGAAAGGCAAGAAAATGTTATTACAGTCATGAAATTCTGTTGCAACATGCACAGACTGACCTCCGTATAAAAAAAGTATCACCACCACCAGACCACGACTCACATGTTTCCCCGCCGAAGAACATGCATTATGCTAGTGCCATTTTCTGCAAGAAAAGGCTTGCACATCATGCGTATAATACGGTATCGATGTGAAGGCCATCATTTCCATATTGATATAGGGCATTCCATTAATTGGTGACAGAAAAAAACGAAAGAAATTATAGCAATAAAAACTGCTTTATGGCAGTTTTCTAAAAAAAGTTATTGTGTTCTAGTCCATGGACCCCGTCTAAAAAGTAAGAAATTAACGAAATGTGATAGCCGAAAATTAAAATTTCACACAAAACCTCACAATAATCACACACAGAATGAAAAGCTACATGTACCGTAGAAGACCTTTTCTCCTCGTGATCCTCTTTCCTATGCATGCATGTTGCCAATTGTTGGTGCAGTACAAGTTAGTTTAGTGTTGAAAGCAGCATTTCAAGTGTTGTGATTATTGTGAGGTTTTGTGTGAAATTTTAATTTTCGGCTATCACATTTCGTTAATTTCTTACTTTTTAGACGGGGTCCATGGACTAGAACACAATAACTTTTTTTAGAAAACTGCCATAAAGCAGTTTTTATTGCTATAATAATACAGTGCTGGCAACTGAAATCCGACCCCCTGAGCAGTGCGCTCACGTCGCAAAGACCCGAAATGGAGGCCGCTAGAAAGTGAACGCGCCGCCCAGGGGTGTTGGACTTGGAGTTGGAGCCTGGAGACAGTGGAGTGGAGGGTTCTCCGGGAATCTTCGCACACTGCCTGGTGCAGTGGTGGGGTCAGACTAGCTCTGGACTGAAGTCTATGAGTATGACTCTGACACAGGGTGACTATCGAGTACATGTACAACTGTCACCATGGTCACGGACGTGGAAATCCAGTCGATTGACCGGTACGAGGTGATTTGGCTTCTTTTAACATGGTTGTAAAATGACGTTTTTTCAGCCACTTCTAGGCAAGCTACGTCCAAATAAATTGGTTCAAGTGGAAGTGCTATCCTTCATGCATGTTGTCTCAAAAAATGGGAATGATCCCACTTTGGAAAGTGTCTTGAATCATGTCCTACTTTCATAGTATTCTCAGGGTTCAAATAATTGGTGTGTCATTTTTTAACAAATTTGTAAAATGGCATCACAAACTGAGATATTCGGTTATCAATGTTCTGAAGTTGATAGATATCACTTCAAGGAATGCCAGTGGATGAAAATTAATCTGTCAACTGCATTGTATGCTGCCGCAAAGCCGTGTTTTTGTATTTGTAACTAGTGGCTGTGTCATACGGTAGAATTGGATAGGTAGCATAGCATCGCAGCCATGTTTTCGTTCTCACAGAGTGTACTCCGTGACATACTGTTCTTCATTGTTGTCTTTAGTGATGGCAAGACGGCCTGACGTCGTCCAAAGGCCCTGCGGAAGCAATTCACTGCCCTCCTCGTCCATTCAGGGGCTTATTTTACACATTTTACACAAAACAGCAAAGCACCCACCACTAGGTATACCGACGTGGCAGGGAGAATTAAATTACATGTATATGCACCAAATTGTCTGGTCAATGTTGATCTACGATAAACTGGCTTTCATTTGCCACCACCCATGTTTCGATACAGCCATCCGGAGCAGAGAAACAGCCAGAAGAAGAGCAAATTTTACACATTTGTTAAAAAATGCCAAATGTTTAAAAAATCCAAATCACTTCCGAATGACCGGGGCCAGCGCCCTGACTTGAGCGCGCACAGAACGGTGCATGCAGTGCACAATCATGTTGATCCCATGCGACCAGCACTAGTGCAACACTAACAAACAACAGCGCATAATGCATGTGTGTACTGCTTACCCACGGCTGCATGCTAGCGCCCTGGGGCCGCTAGACTTGCGACCGGATTTCCATGTCCACAACAGACTCAGTAGTATCGTGCTGGAGTCTGATCTGCCTGTTTATCATGCATGGTTTATGTCTGATTTATGAGTACTAGTAGTAGTAGTACAATCTACATGCAGACTCGCCACTCCGTGATTCGATGCGGGCGCATATGGGCATATGTGCGCTTCTTCAAAAACCAACCAGAAAGTGTTGATTTGGATCCAAAGGGATGTCAGCGCAGCCTTTCTAGTTCTGTAGCCGTTCGCCGTTGGTGCCATGAGCAGCTGCTTTCTATTCCTGTAGCGTCTCCGTTCAGTCAGCAGTCACTTGATTCTGGATCTCAGAGTAGTCGATAGAGCTGGAGGTGTTTAGGCTGAGCGCTGAGTGTTCTGGTTGTCCGCTCTCTCGGATTACGCTGGGTCGCTGGCAGAAATACATAAATTTCGTGGAGCTGTCATTTAGCCACTGTTGAGAAGAGAAGGTGAGGACGAATAAGCGGACTACCTCTCGCACTGCCGCTGTCTTGTGTATTGTGTGAGTTCCGCTGCTTGATATCGTAAAATGTTCTTGACCGAAGTCGCGCACGGTATCGCACTCCGTCCCCCGCATGTACTCCTTTGCTCAGTGCGGTACAAATATTGCGTGGTGAACCTGGTGATTTGGGACTTTTGTGTGTGATGTTGAACTGACGGGAGAGAATCTATGTCAGTGAACTGGCGCGCCTTGTGTCATACGAGTGCTGTGTATGTTGCTTTCGTTCCTCCTTCTTGTGTTCACCGCCTGTATCGCACCTGCGCGTTGTTCTGTGTGTGTGCGTGTGTGTCTTATCTGTTTACAAACAAAGCGAACATGTGCTGGAAATTGGTGTTTTGAAACTATCATGCTTCGGAATTTACTATCCACATTTTCGTCTTGACTAAAAATTCCTCAGGGATTCTCAGGGGTGGTGGCCTCCCCAAGGCCCTGCTGGTGATCGCTTCATTGTTCGGCCTCTCAAGTCTCTCCGCAACGTTACTTGAATTGAAAATTTAATGGTGAACGACGGCCATTTGATGTAGCTTGCAAATTTATCTCATTTATCTACATTGTGATGTTGGGCAGGTATCGCTCGCATCAACTATTTTTTTCCTGATGCACAATGCAATGGATTGCGAGTACTTCTTGGTCCGACTTGGATCCATGTTCTCCGGCAGCAGATTTCAAGTCTCGGCTTGCAAAGGAACACTTGCTCGGCGTCGTAATTATTTTTGTAGCTGTACTTGTATTGCGTCTTGTCCGGCATGCTACAAGTACAATGTATCATGCGCTCGCTACGGCGAACGAACAGTTTATGGTAGCGCCACCGGCCGCGTAGATCTGGGTGCTGTCAGAACCTAGACATGTGCAGATATCCAACGCCGAATATGTCGTTTCTTCCGAAAATCAATCAAGTCGGGGCTGAAGAATACCTTGGAGTGCAAATCAGCTTTGGGGATCACGAACGATTCCAGTGAGTCAACGGCCACGGTCGTTCGTGACACTCGAAGGCAAATCGGCGTTAGGATTGCTGTAACATCGAGCTCTGCGCGCTGTGATCATGGTGATGAACAGCGTGGTATTGTAGTACCGATTGGGCAGGATTTCCTGGACGATGAATACCGATCTTCTGTTCTGCGTTGTGCCACACCCCGCAGCGCCGACCAGAAGTCGCTCGGAGTGCTGCGATAATTATGGGGTCGATACTTAGAGCGCCACAGCAAGCAAACCCAGTCACGTGCTGTATCCCCTGATACCTTTGCAAAGACATGAGTACATCCCCTCGCCAGTTGGGAAGAGAGCTGATAAAAAGTCTCTATACAAACGAGATGATGAGGAAAACGACTTTATCAGAATCTAGCAATGAGCGCTAGCGTCGCAGGCGAATTTTGTACTTCAGTAAACGTTTACTGTTTTTCTGTACATCGGAAGTAAGAAAAGATGCCTGGTTTAAATAATCCTGGTTGCCAGTGTCTGCAGACTTTACCTTTGCAACTCCTTCAAAACAATGAAAAAAGTTGAATGGTAACACATGATGTTTCAAGTGGTGGTTTTCGGTGCAAGTACCTATCCACACCTGATCTATGGACAGTGTGGTGAAGTCAAGGGGAACATCTGACACCTGCTTTTCATGAGTAGCGTCTAAGAAATCCAGGCACACCACATCCTTGTGTTTCCCCCAGGCGGGATGCAACCCTTCCTTTATGGCTGTGTCATGGCAACACACAGCCGTTTATGACAAATAATTATAATTTTAATTCACAAGACAACAAACTTCTGCTTGATTATGGGGTGTGTGTGCGCAGAGTGAGTTTTTGCCAAATTCTAGTCATTTTTCATCCGATAGTCGCTACGCACAGAAGAGCACGGGGAATTATACCACATCTTAGAAATTGAGAAAAAATTTGTGCACGCTCGACACGTAAGAATTGGCATGGTAGTATGTGCCATGGCGGCGAAAAAGACTTACGGTACTTGGGACCGCCGGAAGCAGTTTTGATCGGTCCGGTAGTTTCAGTGCCGTTCAATATTATTTTTGTGTATGGTATGGTGGGTACACATGACCACCATAGTACTGCAGTGGACATGGAAATCCGGTCGCACGTCTAGCGACCCCAGGGCGCCGCTAGCCATGCAGACATAGATGTAGCAATTATCACTGAAACTAAATTCTCTGCTGATGCCATAACTAGCCTTGACTCGTCCATCCCTGGATACGGCGTCCCATATCGCAGAGACGGGAACGAGCACGGAGGAGGTGTCGCTGTGTGGATCAAGTCCACCCTTGCTTCTGCTCATCTAGACCAACTCCAGTCTGCAGAGCACGAAACACTCTGGGTTAAAGTCCGCCTCCGTGGTGGCACAAGCTTGGTGATCGGCTCTGTGTACCGTCCAGGCTCCTGTAGCCCCACCGACCTCTGTCTCATCAATTCACTTGACGATACACTACATCAGGCTAAAGAGCTGTCCCCGAACGTAATCCTCGCTGGGGATATCAACGTGCATAGTGCAGATTGGCTTGGTAGCGTGAAGTCAACCCCGGCCGGGGATGCCCTCGAGGATCTTTGTATCACCCACGAGCTCACGCAACATGTCCGAGAGCCCACTCGAGGTGCCAACACACTAGACCTAATCATGTCCACTTTCCAACAACCCATCAGCACCACTGTACTTGCCCCTTTAGGACGCTCAGATCATGGAACTGTGATAGCTCAATTCCCGACCATTTCACCATGCCGGGGAGAGGCCACCACGCGTACTGTGTGGCGTTACGAGCGTGCTGACTGGGGGCGACTCGGAGCACACCTCAAGGCTGTCCTTTGGGCCTCCATTATCACGGACGATCCAGAGTTGTCTTGCTTACAAGTCACCAATACCATCGCTGCAGGCATGGACCAGTTCATTCCCCATAAGACTCTCGTCATCCGCTCATCTGATCCCAAGTGGTGGACCCCTGAGTGCACACAAGTGATGCGTATCAAGGACAGAGAATGGAGGAAATGGCGGCACGACCTCGGCAATGACGTAAAGAAGCAATCCTTCATCGACTCTGTTACCCGCGCTACCACCACACTTCAGCACTCCAGGCAGGAGAAGGAACGGCACCTTCGGGCCCGACTCACCTGCGGCTCGCTTCGCGACAAGGCATGGTGGTGCAACCTGAAAGGAGCATGCGGTCTTGGCCGAAACTCTGACATCCCCCTCCTCCTCGACAATGCCGGGAAAGAACACATCACCAGCAAGGAGAAGGCTGACTGCTTTGGTCACTTCTTTGCTGGCAAGTGCAGCCTTGCCCTCTTTGTAGGCAACCCTATGCCAGAGTCATCCACAATAAAGCTCTTGGGGGTGACTTTTGATCCGAAGCTGTCCTTCACGGAGCACATCCGCGCAGTGTCTATACGTGGCAAACAGCGTTTGGGCCTCCTGCGGCGAGCTGCGCCCTATCTCTCCCGAGAAGGCCGCCTCACGGTGTGCAAGGGGTTTGTACGGCCCGTTTTGGAGTATGCTCCGCTCGTCTGGATGGGAGCTGCTCCCTCCCATCTTGCACGCCTAGATAGCATCCAACGCCGTGCATTGCGCATCATTGGTCCCGGGACGGAGCTCCAGAGCCTCAGCCTACGGCGATACGTTGCTGCATTAACATACACTTACAAACTGCATTTCATCACCGGTCCGACTCAATTGCTAGCAGTCCTCCCACCAAGGCTTGAGCCCCGTGACGCCACTCGCACTCGAAACAATCTCCGCATGGCCGCCGGCCACAGTTACCAGCTACGAAATCCGCTACCGCGTCAAGCACCAGACACCATTCTCCGCAGCTTCCCACATTGTGCAATCCAGCTGTGGAATTCCCTGCCGCCAGCTTTTCTAGACTCCGCCCCAACTCGCAAAAATCTTCAAAAGTTTAAGTGCAACGTCAACGAATACCTCCGCCAACAGGATTGGCGATGGTCCACGGACATTCTGCCTGTCGACCCACCTACATTCTAGTGCCCCGTCAACGACTCCCATTGCTACGAATGCGCTGCACACTAGTACTAGCTGTTGTTTGCCCTTGCTTTCTTTTTATTTTTGCTGACCCTTACAGCTCTATCTTTTGTTTTTGGTGCGTGTTTCTGGCCGTGATGCCGAGACCTCAGGTCGGCAGAGCCATCAATGCCCCACCATCACTGCAGCACCTCGGTGCAGCCCCTTCTCAGTAGTTGTCACGTTTGTCCTTGTCTCAGTACCATTGTCTTTCTGTATTATTTATGAGTTGGGTATGTGAACATAGTAAAAAATAATAATAAAAAAAGTCGTGGATAAGCGGTACACACATGAATTTATGCGCTGCATGCAGCGCACTGGTCCCATCGATCGGATCGACGTGTGCACTGCAGGCAGCGTTCTGTTATGCGCTGAGGGCGCCGGCCCCGGTCAATCGACTGGATTTCCATGTCCGCTACAGTCGTACACATGTGTTGGTGACTAAAATGTTGGTCAGGTGGTCAGGTGGTCAGGTGATAACCTGACCAACCGCACCAGTTACTGCTCTGACGGCCCTGGTACTAGTGACAAATACGGAGGCATGAAGCACTGCGCTTTTTTTTCAACAAGGCAATGATTTACTTAGTGCACCAATCATCCACGAAGAATGACATCATCGCATGACATCACTTCGCACAAAGCACTACTGACATTGAGCGTCTAAGAGACTGTTCCTAGTACCCCTACCATAAGGAATGGTCATTGTTTGGTTAACGTGTGTTGTGTCAAACTGGTAAGCTGGCTAAAACCGATTTTTCGATCTTGTAAATACGGAGTAGGATGTTAATACTAGTATACTAGTACAATTCAAGAATAATCGTGGTATTCACGGAATGTGTAAAACTTTGTATTTGTGTGTACATGTGTGTGTGTGTGTGTGTGTGTGTGTGTGTGTGTGTGTGTGTGTGTGTGTGTCCATCCAAGGGTATTCGAAGGAGCGCGCGACCGCGCGATTGTGATGGTGTCATCTTCGCACTCCGAGCATGTGATTACAACATGCTAGGCCAAGCAAATTCTTCAAAAACCGAAAACAGCCTAAAACAGCCACGCGATGGATCGATCGTCCACAGGCAGCGATAGTAGCAATCGCAGTGCATCGGCCATGTCCAACAAGGGCAGCTTGCACGAGCGGCGCACACCTCGGCAAACACCGAGCCCCCTGGATCGTCACCAGCAGCAACAACAGTCGTCACGGCGATCGCCCGTCATACACTTTCCGGCGCCGCCGAAGGACCTGCCGCCGAGTCGCCTCGTGCAGCAGGGTAGCAGCGAGCGGGATTCCAACACTCCGGACAGCGCCGCCCGCTCATCCCCGGGCACCACGGATAGAACTGCCTCACCGGCAGCATGCACCGGTGGTGGTGGTCGGCGACAACGAGACTCGCCGCTTCTCAACGGACGCCGAGTGGCAGGTGTTGGAGACAATAGTAGGATTGTGTCTCGCGACAGCCCAGACGGCTCCGAAACCATGGCAAAGGATAGCAACGGCCAGTTGCCCCGACAGCATGCCGCCAGCGGGGGTAGCTCGTTCAGTTGTGGTGGGTTGGGTGTGTCGCGACACAACCCACAACCTGTCGCCGGTGTAGTGACGGACTACAACAGCAGCAGAGCAGCGGCGGAGCACGCGGGCAGCAGAGTGAACAACGAGAGTGACCAAGACAGCCTGGATACTCCCATGTTGGACGTGTCGGCTGACAGTCTGGCCAACATGCTCAGCGGCTTTGCCGCAGTGCTGGTCGAGCGACCCACGCTCCCCTCTTCCGGCGCGCCCACGCCGGACAATGCGTTCGAGTCGCCCGAGTCGGTGGCGTCGCCGCCGACGTCCAGCACCGTGTCTCCCGATCACGTCGCCATGGTAACTAACGAGGACAACAGTGGCAGTGGGGCAGCAACGGAAATCGACAAGGTGCTGCGACGTGTGGCACCCTCGGCGCGCTGCGACTCCCCGCTGCACGCCAACATCCAGCACGTGTTCCCGGCGACCAAGACCCCCGCCACCACTATCAACGTACGCACAATGAAGGAAGAGCGAAAGGACGGTGCTACGGTTGCAACCGCCAACACCACCACCGCCACCACTGCAGCATCAGCAACGTCCACAGCGACGCTACCCAAGCAGGCTAGTATCAACGAGAAGCGACTCTGGGAGAAGGTCATTGTGCCGCATTGGGCGTTGCTCTTGGAAACCATCGACGTCGATAACGTCTGCACACAGCTGCTGGCGGCCAGTCTGCTGGACAATGACCAGGTGATGAGTCTGCGGGTAAGTGATTTGTAGGGCGTTTGTGTGTGTGTGTGTGTGTGTGTGTGTGTGTGTGTATGTGTGTGTATGTGTGCACGTGTGCGCGCGTGCTTGAGTGTGTGTGTGTGTGTGTGTGTGTGTGTGTGTGTGTGTGTGTGTGTGTGTGTGTGTACTCACTAGGTCTGTCGTTATTCACGAGTCACTATTACACTCGAGATCATTATCGACGATGTTGACTGTCTAGAAAGTGGTGAGCGCATTGTGCTACTACTTGCCAGCTATGATCGACTACCTACTTCACGGCTCTGTCCTATCGAGGTCTAACGTGCAACAGTTGCATGCTGATTTTCATACAGATGGCTGTCGCCCAATGCGAGATGCATGAGACCGATATTCGCATACCCCTCGGACCTGTTGTCTATATCAAACTCGTTGTGCACTGAACACTGTACTCAGTTTGTCTGAGAATTGCTTAAGTACAGTGGTTTCCGGAGTAAGAGCTGCACTGTAATAAACACCAGCACCCCCCCCCCCCCCCCAAATGGCGGTGAGGCTTATACTGCCATGGTCAAATTAACGGTGCAGGGTAGCTGTCTGTATTTTGTGAGAAGAGGATCTGGGTACGGCTTATGCTCCAGTGCGGCTTATACTGTGCGTCTTATGTCTCCATGACGCCGAGACCTCAGGTCGGCTGAGGGCAAAAAGCCTCATCATCACTATGCTCCCACTATGCGATTAATTTTGTTGTTTTTGCCTGTGAGCTGTGATCATTGTAAAAATACAAGTGAAAAAACGCTCCAGTGCGGCGTATGCTCCGGACAATACGGTTCTCAGTTTGTCTGAGGATTGCTAAGGCATCTCAACTTATGGTGTAACTGAATAACCTCTATTGCCATGTGATTGTGCGTAGACATGCTCGGATGAAGCGAGTGCCGCTGCCAGGATGGTGACGTACATCGGCGCTCACGGCGACTCGGCCATCATCACCTTCTCGCGCATCATCAGCGAAGTGGCCCACGCTCACCCGACCTACCGCAACCTGGTCATTCGACTGAAGGAAGCCCTGCGCAGGCAGCTGTCCAGCTACTATTCAGACGGTATGTCAATACGCAGTGCATGGCAAATTTCGGGTGGAGTTTGACCAAGTGGTGTTAAAGTAAAACCTGTAACTAAAGACCACCGTGACTAGCGACCAGCCTGGTACTACAGTAAAACCTGTAACTAAAGACCACCGTGACTAGCGACCAGCCTGGTACTACAGACCACGTGGCCAGGCACGAACGGTCTCACATTCATAATATGGTTGGGTGGTGCAAACCTGTGACTAAGGACCACCTGCCACTACAGACCGCTTTCTCTGGCCCCAAAGGGTGGTCCTTTGTCACAGGTTTTACTGTAGTACCAGCCCAATGTCCCTGGATAGGGAGACATCCTGTGTACGATGACTATATCTTTACGGTCCCTTGAGTGGTTGCCTTGGACAGGTTTCACTGTTCTGCGTCGCAGCTCATTAGATGCCACGAGCCAACAGTCTAACATGACTGCCAAACACCTCATGGCAAAGAGCAGCTTCAGCTTCATGTCCAAGTCTGTAGCACTTGTTTGTGATGGTGCTATAACGACTGCGGATATAACGACCATTCGCGAATATCGACAGAATTTCCATGCCCAGAGCAAAGTCCCATCCCACTGTAATACATATAATGATACTTCGGGTATAATGACACTTCGCGAATAAGGACACCTTTTTGATGCCCCGCCGAGTGTCGTTATAAGCGAAGTTGACTGTATGTGCGAAATTCTGCCACTGTACTGTAAATCTAAAAATCTCCGGCCCATTCAGATTTCGGTCTGCCAGGGCTAAAGCGCATTTCGGGCGCATCAAATTTTCGGTCTGTACTGCTGCCACCTGTATACGCTGTCACACTGAACCTTGCAAAACAAATTTTCGGCCAAACGGGACCAGGCCAGAAGGTACATGGGTGTGTGTCATGTATGAAATTCTGCTATGCGTCTAGACCCTGTTGACTGTAGCTATGTGCACCAGTGTACAGCTCATGTGGTAGGGTGAATTGATGTATTATGGAATGTGAAACTCTGCAACTGTAGATCCGATAGATTGTAGTACCGGTGTCCTAGTTTGTTCAGTTCCTGTGGTAGGGTGCGTTGATGTATGATGTGGAATTCTGCAATTGTAGATCTGATAGATTGTAGTACCCGTGTCCAAGTTTGTTTGAGCTCCTGTGGTAGGGTGCATTGCTGGGTAATGTGATGTACAGCTCCGTCGTTGCAGACCCCATAGGTGGTAGTTTTACTCTGCTGGGGGGTTGCTGGGAGTTAGATTCTGAGCACATGGATCCTTACAGCGAT